TCAACATTCGATCACTGATGAAAATGCCAGCATAGTTTAGAGCTGACTTATATGGGCTCTAAATATTGTGAGTGTTCAAAGTTATTTTACAATGTACATATTGCCCTATGATGGTTTATGTTCACAGTGCATAGGATTTATCTAACATATACCATTGTGTGCGCGACCTTATCCACATTTTTAAGCATCATGTAGTGTTTATTGTCCCTTAACTAATATCAAAGCTTTGCATTATTACAAAGAGCATCCTGTGCCAACTCTGAGCCCTGAGAGTGACATAGAACGGCAGCAAACCACAAACAGGATTTTGGAGGGATAACTTAGTTATCCCATAAACCCCTCTGAATCAGAATTAGAATCACACAGCACAATGCAGCGGAGCAATTATTCTAAAGACCACATACACTTTATTATAAACAGTAGCAAGAGGTTAAACCTTACTATGCACATGACCACAACAGTTAAACACACATGTGCTTGGAAGCAAACAATACTACCCTATCGGTCTGACTTTTGTATGAACTATACAGGAAAAGCAGTTGCAACCTAACAAGTACAATAACAAATTAAAACACATGCTATTTTACAGTTAGTCGCTGGGAGGCTTTGCATTATAATGAATAATAAATTAGTAAATCTGGCAGGAAGAAATGGACTGCAAACAATCGGCATGAGGGAGGGAAAACCATGCTGTACAGAAGTGTATGTGTTTTCAGAGCACAGAATGTTAACCCTTTGGTATAAACAAGTTACCCAAGGGTATGCAATCATTATACTACTAGACTATGTAGATACAATACAAAAAGGTATGTGGACATCAGCTCATCAATACACATTCCAAAATCCCCTATAAATAGGCCAGTTTTTTTTAACCATAACAAATCATTTTCAAACATTTAGACAAAACAGGGTTCACCAAAGACATTCACTACACAACCCCCACTCACCAGAATGCCAATAGGAACATTTCAATTCCAATTTCATCAATACGAAGATGGCAGTTATGAGCTCTACCCATCACTGCCATAAACATTTGAATGACATTGACACTCATAACATTAAAGTGGAACAACGGCTACTTCTGCAACTTTTTTTTTTTCCTCCTCAAAATGCTTGAAATAGGTTTGACTCAGAAACAGAAGACAGTACCCGTAGCACTATGATGCATAGACTGTCCCTTTAACATGGAGGTGTTCCTGTGCTGGTCTCCACGAGAGATTGGGATGTTTCCTTATAGGTACAAAAAGTGCTCTTTCAACCAGATTAGGTTCTTCCACACAGCTCTCTCAAACCATTTCTCGATAAACCTTACTTTGTGAATGGAAGCAATGATACAAATGATCTTTTCCACAAATTGTTGATTTAAAGATGGAAGCACAGAATTGTCATTATATTCTGTGGTATTAGATGTCCATTCTCTTGAACAAATGGTACTGAAACAAGAAACAGCACCAGTCTGTTGTAGGGGTTATAGTGCCAGGAGTCCATTGGCGTTATGGCCCAGGTAAGAGACATATCCGTGGACCCCCCACACACCTGCAGTGCAGCCTCTCCTACAGAGGGATTACTCTGCTAAGTTCAAAAAAGGCTTACATTTTACCAAGGGACGAGTGCCAGGTGACTCCTGGCACCATAACCCCTACAGAAGCTTGCCTAGACTGATCAATTCATTAAACAGGAAATATTGTCACTGTATCTTAAAGCACATTTTCTTCTTAGAATACATTTTTTCCAGTTAGTGCATTTTATAGAGGTTATGCAGTTCTCATAAAAATGCTAAGCCCTAATGGTCATTAAAATCTAGATGCGGGGTGGAGCTAACCACCGAGCTGATCAGATGCCATTGCGGACAGCTCCGGCTCTAATCTTCACTATCTCGCCTCAATCTGGAGAATCTCCATAGAGCCCACCGTCCTAGACCCATATCCCGACCTGCATCGATAGATGCCCTTCTTTTTAAAAAAGACAACGCCAAAACGGCAACGTAGGGCCGGGGCCTACTCCACGCAGCCACTGCCTGACCTGAAGGCGCTCCTTGGCGGAATTTACCAAGGCCTGACATCTAACTGGACTACAGAACCCCATCCCAGTCTGGTGGACCACATGCCTGCCATGGGACGACGTTCCCAGAAAGCCAGCAACCAGACAGAAGGGAGAGACATAGGGGCTATGTTACAACGACTCGCTAGGCCCAAACCGGCCCCAGAAGAAAGCCAGACAGCTACCGCACAAATGGATCACACTGATCAACCAGGGAGCACCGAGTTCGGCACCATACCACCAGCTCCCCCAGGCGAAGGAGCTTGCAGGACTGAGAGCTGACTTACAAAGCACAAACGACCGGGTGCGTGCCACAGAGGCTGACATGACAGACGTCACAACAAAATTTGACAAACTTACAGGCCTCGGTGCAACAGCTCCAAAAGTCCCAACACAACCTGACCCTGCACCTGAATGCCCTCGAGAACAGCCATAGACGCAATAATATCAAAATTTGCGGCATTCCAATGAGTGTCACATCAGAAGAGCTGACACATTACATAAGAAGGCTAATAGCAACAATCTTACCTCCAGTGATGGCAAGAAAACTGGTAACCGACGGTATACCGGGTAGCAGGCCCCCCAAGAGCTCCCTCACAAACAGCACGTGATGTCATCCTGCGCTGTATATCCTCACTAGACAAGGGACAGATAATGGCGGCACTGCGGGGCAAAACCCCACTATCATTTGAGAACTCCAGCCTAACCTTTTATCAAGACCTAACGAGGGCTACCCTCCAATGGCGCCGGTCACTCCACCCTGTGACCCAACAACTGCGAGCAGCCAACATGAGCTATAGGTGGGGGGCACCAGGATCGCTGCTGGCCACTCACAACGGGACTACCCACACACTTACCTCTCTTGCAGAAGCCCTGACCTTTCTTGAAACTCTAGGTCTGAAAGCGGCGGACACACAAACCCTAGAGGGAAACTGGGACCCGGATAACAGTGTCCCCTTCATCCCACACACCGCCCCGGCACACCAACAGCCCACATGAATGCGGCTGAAAGCAACAATCCCAAGGACCCTGCATAGAGATTATGAATAACCGGGCTCTACGGACACCACTACCGATAGAATGTTTATTTACCTGTTGATATGTTACTCAGCATAGCGCAGCTCAAATTAGGGCTTGAGTGATAGAAACTTATAACTATACTTACGTTAAGAAGGTTTATGCATCCATTCATGGTTCACAAGTTGCACAGCATGGCGCAGTTCAAATCCTGACATAAATGATGGGGTTTCCTACCTACACCTACCGGACACAGGGACCCCCCCTTAATGGCCCCGAATCCACCACAGACATCTACCACCGCGCCAACTCACACACATCCAATAGACGAGATGACAACGCTGACCCCCTTGGTTAGGGGTATCAAACAGTATACACCCATCACTGAGCACCACAATGAGAAAATGCAACCGAAAGGATGGCAAATACACATGCGATCACTATGAAACCTGCACAGATAAGCAGCATCCCACATCGGAATTAATCCCACATATAGGATCTACACGGTACTGTATGCTAAGAAAACGTTTCAGAGCTACTACTGACACCTATCTACAACCAAAGCGTCTTCTCTGCACGCAGTCTCAGAACCACAAATCCAACCTTAATATTACTCATGAGCATTGACATGTCCTGTACACCTTAGGAAGATCTCATTTAACCCCTGACATGCTGTATAATCATTAATAACGCTTTGTCACACGAATGTATGCCTGTTTATAACCTATCTCTGCTGTTGTGGCAGAATAGGTACTTTTTGTAAGATTTACGCACGACAAAATAAAGAATTTAAAAAAAAATAAAAAAATCTAGATAGGCAATGTGCTGCGGGCAGAGGTAAAAACGGAAGCCATTTTCTGAATATGGCAAAAAAAATAAAATGTTACAGAACAAAAGCTAAAGGCAAGAGTACTTAAAAAGTATATATATTTTTCCTCTTTGGGAATCTTTAGTAAAAATCATCCCTGTTCTCACCCATTTAAAGGGCACATAATTCTATCTGTACACAGCGCTACGGAATTTGCTGGCACTATATAAATAATAATAATAATAGCTAGGTATGTCAAACGAGAAGAAGATCAACAAGTAATGAGCAATACACATTGACTAATAATTAAGAAATGCAACTGGTGCAGAAAAACATATATAAACCAAATGGGATAACTAGATTGTAATTTAGGAACTTGTTTTGCCAAGTTAATTGATCTGTTCCTCTGTCAGACTTATGTTTGCAAAAATTCAAAAAAAATGACTCAGAAGCATAAAATAGTTACATATAAAAAGTGTAGCACTAAAATGCACTTTTACCATAATTGTAATACTTGTACAGGTCATCTGTTTTCTACAGCCAGTCTACAACAACAACAGAGGCTAGTCCCAGCATTTTGTTGGGCTGTGATGTGTATAATTACACACACACAGTTATGTGTAGTAGCTCCATAGTACTGCAGTGATGCTACTGAAACATTCTGCTAGAACAGAATAGATTATGGGGAGAGGAGCATCAATTATAGCTGTAATAACAGAGAGGAATGGTTTATGTTGCTCCCAGTCACACACAGTATCATTCTATAATAATAATAATAATAATAATAATAAATTACCAGGCTTCGGGCAGTCACTGAGACTGCGGCTTCTATGCAGAGACCCCATGGCCGCGTGTGTTTATCACATCCACCGCTATCTGTTCCTCAGCTCTCGGCTCCCCTCTCTCACTCACTCACACTCCACTGAGTGTCTGCCAGGCTCATTGATAGGCAGCCAGCACGGCTATACAAGTAATGTCCTCTCGCTCTGAGCGCCCCTCAGCGTTTGTTTCTCGGTAACAGCTCGCAGTCAGCTGATTCACTTCAGTCATGTGACTTAATGATAGAACACCGGCTTGCTCCGCCCACAGATAGCACCTCCCACACGCACTGCATAGCCACGCCCCCTCGTGGTGTCCCCGCCCCCTCCCTGTGTGATTGCCCTTTGGTCAGACTGTGCAGGGCCCATGCTGTGTCTTAATTATAGGACGACCAAGGTGATCTGACTTTCTCCTGATATTACAGCTTCATGGTGCATGGCTGAATCATTTCAATGTAGATCGTGCTTTAATAAAAACTATAATCTTATCAGGGGATAGCTAACAAAATACCTGGGGGGAGGAGGGGGAGGGGAGTTTTTTAAGTAATAATTACAATAAAATGTGATTTATTGGTTCTAATCTTGCTTGTTTAATAGCGTGCTTGGATTAATTTATATGTGTTTAATTGTTAATAATAGAAATAATAATTTAAATCTGAATGGTAAAATTTAGGCAAAAGTAGCCAAGCTGTGACTATAGCGGAGGGTGAGAATGTTTTATTTATTTTAAATATATATATATATATATTATTTTTTTTTTGCCTTACAGCTTATATTTCTTTACTGTTTCGAGTTCAGTGTACACGCCAGATTCGCCTTTAAACAATTGTTTTGGTTAACACTTAGCCAGATGCCAATTTAAATCTGTGGACGGATTATGTGCTCATGGCGTGCAAAAAAATTATTGCATCCATGTCTGCACTCTCAGTCTATGCACAATGTCCTATCTTGAACATGTGTGATGGTATTACATTGCTAAGAGTAAACAGAGTATGTATATGTATGTGTACAATAATCAAAGGTGATGGGCACTGTTTAACAGAACCTTCAAAACAAATTTTAAAAAAAGTAAATATCCTTCACACGCAGCAATGCTGTGCTGTGGGCGGAGAATCTTTTCTGTGCTAAGTACTATATAAATATATATATATATATATATATATATATATATATATAAAAATATAGTGACTGTTCTAATAAGAACCAATAGTGACAAGTGGTGAGCGCTAAAATAAGGTTTTAAGCTTACCCTGAAAGGTTAAGCTGTACAGTCAAGATGGTAACTGAACGTAAAAGAGATTCCGGTAACATAGGCTTAGACGTATAACGGTAAAGTAAGATGTTCTTTCTAAGGTGGATAGGATATCCTCATGTATAAAAAGACAAAAAAGGAGGGAAGGGGAATACAGCCAATCCTGGTGCATTACCTCTTAAAATACAAGTGAGTGAAAACACACAGTGGCCTCTCACCTTCTTAGGTGCCCTAGTATAGCAGCATATGTATCATTTAAAGGAGATACAACCCTTCTTTAGCAGTAGCAATGTTGAATACTCCACAGGACAACGTTTCCAGGTGTGATGCAATTTATTAAACAAACAAATTTAAATAAATGAATGCAAGCATAATCTGAAAAACGTATCTGCTTAAAGGACCACTATAGTGCCAGGAAAACATACTCGTTTTCCTGGCACTATAGTGCCCTGAGGGTGCCCCCACCCTCAGGGACCCCCTCCCGCCCGGCTCTGGAAGGGGGAAAGGGGTAAACACTTACCTTTTTCCAGCGCTGGGCGGAGAGCTCTCCTCCTTCTCTCCTCCTCCGTTCCTCCTCCTCGGCTGAATGCGCACGCGCGGCAAGAGCTGCGCGCGCATTCAGCCGGTCGCATAGGAAAGCATTTACAATGCTTTCCTATGGACGCTGGCGTGCTCTCACTGTGAAAATCACAGTGAGAAGCACGCAAGCGCCTCTAGTGGCTGTCAATGAGACAGCCACTAGTGGATTAGGGGGAAGGCTTAACCCATTCATAAACATAGCAGTTTCTCTGAAACTGCTATGTTTATTAAAAAATGGGTTAACCCTAGCTGGACCTGGCACCCAGACAACTTCATTAAGCTGAAGTGGTCTGGGTGCCTAGAGTGGTCCTTTAATGTGGAGTCCGAGACGCATTTCGCTGGTCCAGCTTTATCAATCTGTGTACTGAGTGCTGCTGCTTCCCACCAAATGTCCAACTGTGCCAGTAATTCTACCAATCACGAGAGTTGTTCGGAGGTGGGGGGAGTGTGTGACGCTTCACCTGGTAATTTAACCCGTCTTGATAAAGTCTGACTTACGACATTCCAGAGTCAGACTTCACTTCCCGGTTCGTACGGCCGTAAATGATCTCAATGACAGGATAGTGTGTAATAAATGTCCGTCTCGTCACTTTCTGTTCACGATGCAATTACAATCTTCATGTCCTTTTTGACAGTTAATTACATAGTTCCTTATTACAACGTCCATTGTTGTTATTAGCATTCAAGTCCCAGTATATATATATATATATATATATATACTAGTGATACTCTTAATGTCTAAGAGGAAAAAAACAAAACAAAGAAAAAACATGTATAAATATAATGAACACTGAGTCAAACCAGTACTTAAAAATTCAGACATGCAAATGACAATGGTATGTGATCATATAGATCACCCTGGTGGAGTGGCACGTAATCATTTGTTTGATCTTAAAAATCGTCTTCTTGTTCTATTGGGGGTGATTAAATTCTTTTTTTATTATTGGAATTCTTGCATGCGCCACATAAGCCGCAGCGGTAGAAACCATTAGATTCATTAAAAAAAAAATTTTTTTACTCATTCTAGGGGGTTTATGGTTATTCACTAGTTTATTTCTTAGATTCTGTGCTCCTCTACATGTAATGATGGGTTGATCAGGGGGGAATACCATTAAGAATGCTATCATTTTTAAAATAGGACAATATTTATTTATAATCTTCTTCAATTGCCTATTTTTACAATTAAAATCACAAATAAAATTTAAATGTTGGAAACGTGTATTGTTGATTTTCTCTTTATATTTCATGAATTCATTCCTATCTTTTTCTTTTACTTCATCATACGCTTAGTTCAGTAATTCTTCCCTATATCCTTTTTCTTTGAAATCCTGCATTATCTTGCTTGCTTGTTCTTGGAACTTTACATGGTCTGTACAGTTCCATTTAATGCATAGTAATTGAGCCTTAGGTGCGTTCAACAGCCACGGGGAGAAGTGACAACTCTTCTCCCCTATGTAGCTGTTGACGTCGACCTTTTTAAAGAAAGTGCAAGTTTTTATTTGTTGGTTTCTACATAAATATTGAGATCCAGAAATAAATATATATATATATATATATATATATATATATATATAAAATTTATTGTTTATTTTTATTTTTTTATTATAATTTTTTTACTAGAATTTCTTTTTACATTTCTTGTTTTCTCTGTAGTTGCACAAACTCTGTAAGTAGCTATCAAATCGTATGTCTAATTTGGGAAGAGAAATTGTAATTATAATCTGTGATACCTGTAGTTTAGACTATGCATCATTGATAGATCCCTGACTTGTCTAAACTGGTTGTGATTGGTTTAACCAAGAAAAGTAATGTCACACCCAGCAATTGTCTAGTATGTGATTTCTATAATGTGCATATAAACCCTTCTTGTTTTGCTTGAATAATTGTATCTCCTGTTCTCCTACTGTGTGGTAAATAACTTTACAGCTCCCATAGCCCAAATTAGCATAGAAAGTTCACAAGTTCACTTTCTTTTCTTTATTTGATATAGGGCCTATTGTGTTATACTGATAATCCATTTGCTGACATTTACCTGATTTCATTAGATTGAACACAATACACCCTACTGAGAGTAATTAACCTAGTCAAAGAGGTCTGAAATCACTGTATTGCATAATTAAATTGCACACTGTATAATCAAAATATATGTATGAGTAAATTACATATGAGAAAAAGACAATGAAGGCAATATATATTTTTTTGTTATCACAAATCCCAAGTCTGAACTGTGCCCAGGCTTTTTATTGTAACACTGTAGGAATACTCAAATTATTTTTTCAGAAAATGGAATTTAGTTTGGAACCTCCGACACTCTTTCATTTGACAGTTTTTCTCATCCGAATATTGTCCATGAAAAATATTCCGTAAAATGATTCAAATAAAAAAGGGTGGGCAATTGGGCCTCTCAGTGTACTGCAAAATATATACATAATGATCAGCGACAATTTTAAAACAATCTGTCTAATATTGAATAGGTCCAACACTAGGTTTTTCTGCGACATTTTATGTGGAGCAGAACCACTACATGGTAAGCTGTAATAGTTCTGGTGCATGTAGTGTCCATTTCCGAGTAGTCATTTTTAAAAATGCCCAGGTCCTATACTAGTAATGTGTACATATATAAAGCAAGTATCACTTTATATATACACATGTGGGCACCCAGGCCACTATTGTCTGGTATAATGAAGAGGGGGCCCAGGAAAGTCCAGATTATACCTCTGGCAGGTACTATTGTGAGCCATGGCTTCCTACCACACAAATTGATACTCAGTATCCACTGGCGTACATGTAGGGGTCGCAGCTGCGACCGTGCTCGTTACTCCCTGTGGACCCCTGCGACCGAGTACCAGCCACAATGTTTTGCGGTCCCGGGCCGCGCGGCAAACCGCCAGGACCGCCGTTCAAGGGGTCCATCGGGTGGACCATGCTGTTAGGGCCACCCGATGAAGATGGATTTTAAAGGGGCCCGGTCAGCACTGGGCACTTTAAAAGCGCAACCGGGCCCCCTGTGATGACATCACTGCTGGGAGGAAGTGACTGCCCCGGTCACTCCTCCCAGCAATCACACAGAGCCTGCGCGGGAGGAAGGACAGGGAGTCAGAGTGGGAACTCTGACTCCCACCAGCCTGAGCCACCACTGGACCCCAGGGAAGGTAGGAAACAGGAGGGTGACCAAAATATTTTGTATATGTGTGTCTTTGTTTGTATGTATGTCTGTGTCTGTGTGTGTGTGTCTGTGTCTGTATGTACGTGTCTGTGTGTGTATGCCTGTCTGTATGTATGTGTGTCTTGTGTGTCTGTGTGTCTGTGTATGTATGTCTGTCTGTGTGTATGTATGTATCTTGGTATGTGTGTGTCTGTATGTATGTGTCTGTGTGTGTGTGTCTGTCTGTGTGTATGTGTCTTTCTGTTTGTATGTATGTCTTGTGTGTGTGTGTGTGTGTGTGTCTGTATCTGTATGTGTGTATGTATATGCCTGTATGTTTGTATGTGTCATTTTATGTGTGTCTATGTGTATGTGTGTGTCTGTCTATGTGTGTGTTTGTCTGTCTGTGTGTGTGTGTGTCTGTATGTATGTGTCTTTGTATGTATGTGTTTCTTGTGTGTGTGTGTGTGTGTGTGTGTATGTGTCTGTATGTATCTGTCTGTATGTGTCTATGTGTGTGTCTCTATGTATGTATGCGTGTATCTTTATGTATGTGTGTGTGAGTCTGTTGGGGGGAGGGGGAGAATGTGAGGGTGGGGTAAAAGGATCCGTTCGCACCAGGGTCCCATGGATTGTGTGTATGCCACTGTCAGTATCCAATACACAAACACACACTGCATCCACTATACAAACATACTGCATCCACCACACATACTGCATCCATCACACAAACAAAAACATATAGCATCTACTACACACCCACTGCATCCACAACACAAACACACACTCTGCATTCACTACCCACATACATACACGCACTTTACATCCACTACTACATCTGCTATACACACACTGCTTCCAGGAAACATGCACACACACTCATCCCTTACACATACATGCAACTTGTGATAAAAATTTCTGATTGCAGCCCAGCCCTTAAGAACCTAAAAAGAAAAATATCCAGCACAAATCAATAGGAGAAAAGCACTCTATGTTTATTGAGGTCCCCGCAGCAAGTTGAACAACGTTTCACCCTAACAATAGGTCTTTCACCTATTGATGTGTGCTAGACATTTTTCTTTTTGGATTCTACTTTGAATGGTTATGGATCCAGAGTCCGTTTTTGCACCCTTTTTTAATGTCATTTTGTAATGTTCTGTTCCCTTGAGAGGATAGGTTTATGAGCATGCGGACAAGGATGACGTCATGCACATGTATGCACACTAACTTATAACGTAAGTTTAAAGAGGAGCATGTGCATGTCTACCAGTACTGCTACAGCTCCTCCATTGACCTAAAATAATGCTAACGCTAACATTTGTTTACATTCATGGAAGCTTACAGTCACCCACCGAATGTCTGTAATTGCCCTAAGAACATCCATAACATAGGCTGGGAGAGGAAGGGGAGTGGGGGTTAGAAGCCCTATTTTCAGGTTTGTGCTGGCCACAGCAGACATTGTTGGCAACTTCTCTAGACACGTTTACGATTAAACAATTGTATCAGATACTCTTCAAATGTAAAAGAACCTTATAAATGCATTAATTACTATGTAAGCAATTAACTACTAGCCAAAGTGATTATTCATGTTCTTAGACTGGATTACAAAGAGCATAAAAGGTTACAATTTGCATATCTGTGAACTCAAACAGTATAACCTGATCCAATCATGATGATCCCCTTCTCCACCATGTAAACTGCAGTAGTTACAATAGAAGTTTTGGAAATACACAGGAAGCTTTAAAAGAAGTATTACTTTAACACTGTTTATTTCAGACAGGTACTGGAAGAGGTACTAGTAAACAGATTTTTGTAATGCTAATACATTAGATTGTTTTAATTTGATCACAGTATTTATTTATAAAATATTTTACCAGGAAAGATACATTGAGATTTCTCTCATTTTCAAGTATGTCCTGGGTCCACAAAACATTGCATTGACACAATAGGGTACACTAAAATACAAAAACAATATTAATACACAACATATACAAAATTTGACATAGAACAGGTAGGAAATATATCATCAACCATGACAGGTGCATTCTGTTTTGAGATATGTAGAGGGATCTCTTAAAGGTCGTTCCATAATTGCGGTGCTCTGTAGGAAAAGGAGGATCGGGCTGCTTTCTTATTGTATTGAGGTAAACTAAATAAAGTACTGGTACTGGATCGGAGGTTATAGGAGGTGGGAATAGCCGGGGAGAGCATTCTGCTCAGGTAGGGTGGGAGCTTCCCAGAAAAGCTCTTAAACACAAGGCTGGAAAGATGAAGGGTGCGTCTGGATTCCAGCAACAGCCAGTTTAGTTATTTTAGCATGTCACAATGGTGGGTCATGTAATTACATTGTAGCACAAATCGGCAGAACGAGTTATACAATGTATTGAGTTTATTAAGGTGGGTTTGCAGTGCAGGTGCATATACTACATCCCCATAATCAACGATTGGCATCAGCATTTGCTGAAGAATATTAATACACAATATATAGAACATTTAACATAGAACAGGTAGGAAATATATAATCAACCATGACACGTGCATTCTGTTTTGAGGTATGTAGATCCACCCACAATAACAGTCCAGTACCATGATACCGGGCAGATCCCCTCTGCACAAGAGCTAGCGCAAATCAGATGATCATTTCAATCTTGGTGTACCTCGTCATTGATGTGAGGCTTGAACACCTCTTGGCACAACTGAGCAATGGATTTGTGACTGGAATACGATTTTACCTTTTAAACTAAAGCCAAGTAAAATAGAACTTTATTAGTCCACAAGATAATATGCTATCCTCAGACAAGGGGCAAAAGAAGACAAAGATAATATGTCTAATAGGAAAGATAGCAGAAATGTGTAAAAAAAAAAAAAAAAGGTAGAAAAAAAAGTATATTCACAAATTCACATTAATGTACCACCAAACTAAGTAGAGGATCTCATACCTGTTAGAAAAGTAGTTGGAAATGTTTAGTCATATTATGGATAAAGACTGTAAGCCAGTGATTACAGCCAACCAGATCCACAGGTGGGGTATTTAAACCCAATTCTCCTCTTGCTCAGTGCCCTGTTGTGGTTTCATGCCTATGGCTATCTGAGAGTGCGTTCCTGGTCTTGATTTTCTGGTATTTGACTTTGGCTTTGTTTTGACTTCCCTGATATCTGGTATCCTTGACTTTTGGCTTTCCCTCATCTTTGTGTCTGATTCTGTGTCCCTGACCTCGGCAAGTATTTTGACTATTCTTGGAGACGTTAAGTCCGGCAATTCTAATGTCCGGTTATACGTTATCCTTAGTCCTAGGTGTGACACAGTACTGCGTGCTGGATCAACTTGTAATCCTGACATTACGACATGGCCATAGATCCTGCAGAATTGTGTCAGCACATAGCAGCTTGTGAGAGAAAGCTAGAGGAGAATAATCACCGTATGGATCAATTTGCCCAGGCTTTTAGCACATTCTTACTAGGATGGCTCATTTATAACCTGAGGCTTCTCCAATTATTTCACCACTGCCTTATGTACATCCACCTATAGTATATAAGGCACCTACGATCTCCTTTTCTCCTCCCCTGCCTTTTTCTGGTAATATCCAGGAATGTAGGGGATTTCTCAAATAGATTGAGTACCACTTTGAGGCCTCACCTGGTTCATTTCCTTCATATAGAGCTAAAATTGGGTATCTGATGAACCAACTTAAAGGTAAGGCCTTAACCTGGGCTAATCCACTGTGGGAAAGTAATAGGGGTATCGCTCATGTTACCAGGTATTCCTGGCGGAATTCAAACTGACGTTTGAACCATTAGGCAGAGAGGAAGACGCCTCCACTGCCCTAATGCATATAAAACAAGGGAACCAGTCTATCTCGATTGCTAAACTTTTCAATAGTCTATAACACATGCCTACTCTGCCCCCCTCTCCCCCTCCCCCTCTCACACTCTCCTTTTCCCCTCCCCAGTCATAAATACCTTCATTGACTGTTCTATCTCTATTCCTCAGGCCTCACTTCACAATCAACTCAGTGAAGACTCTCATTTTCTCCCCACTTCCCACCCACCCTCCCCTCCTCCCACCCACCCAGGCTCCCCTTAAATATATAGCATGCTCCTCCAGCTGTTCGAGATTCTCACCCAATTACCTGTTCATTCCCCTAACATCTTACCAATAGCTGCTTCTCTGTTAACTCTTTCAGCCATCACCTCCAAACTTCCCCTGCTACCTTTTGTCTCAAATCCCCCTGGTATCCTTTAGATTGTAAGCTCAAGGGCCATCTAGCTAAGCACTTTGTATAAAAGAGCTCCAATGGCTAGATATCAGCTTACGGGCAGGGCTCTCTTACCTCTTGTATTTGTTCGTGTATATTGTACGTTTCTCAACTAATTGTACAGCGCTGCGGAATCTGTGTGCGCTTTATAAATTGCAATAATAATAATAATAATAATAATTATGCCATAGAATTTTATACCTTGGCATCTGAGGTAGACTGGACTAACAACGGACTTTATGAAATTGCTGCCTGTGGCGAAACCGGCCTCGCCATGTGTCCTTGGAGGGGGCTGCTTGCCCGCCTCTTGCCTTTGGACTATGAACCAGACTTTATGTGAATGTGTTAACCCAGATAGCTATGCCATGGAGCCCATTCGTGTAGTTAAAGACTTCGGCTCCATGGCAATTGAACTGTGTGAATAGGATCTAAGTGCTATTCGGTAGTTTTGTGCGCTCAGATCCCAGCTATCTGGGGATATGTGACATGTCTGTGTTTTATGTATAAATGTATAGTATGTATTTTTATGTCTTTTGTTGTCCTTTGTCTGCCATGTGGCTAGTGGAGTCTTGTGTCTGTCCTGGGAGATAATTGAATTACTTCTCACTTATCTCCAGGATAGAAGACTCTGAAACTGGTTTGGGCCAGAAAGCCATGCTTCATTTAGTCACAAAGGACTTTCCCTTAACTTTTGAACCCCTGGTCTGATTCGTGCCATTTTTTTAATATGTTGTTGCCCTGAATGGATTGATTATGAAAATGTATGTTTTATGTTTGTGACATGTATATTTTAGAAGTTATAAATATTGTGTAAAAACTGTATTCCTCTGCCGGTGATAATGAGATTACCCATTGTGTTCAGTAATTATATCACAGACAGAGGGGAGGATTTTGTGTGGGAGTGTCTGGGTGTATTGTATGGATTCATTGGTTGTTTTGTAACGCCCTGTGGGCTGTACTAGGTTTGTGGATTGGGAATAAAAGAGACTGTATGTGACAGTACAGGAAGTTCCTGTTTTAACCCTCAAAGTGAAGTGTCATCTCATTATTGGGGGAAGGATTTATTGTATGCTGTTCCAGTTTGACTGCTAGGAGAGTAAACCTATTTGTATGGTTCCTATTCAACTGTCTACAGCATTCATATGCTTGAGAGGATTCATATGCTTCTCCGGTTCGGTGGTTGTGGTGTCTGCTGCAGTGTTTGGAGTCCTCAGGAAGCGCTAGGAGCATCCTTTAACGGAGGTACCCAGTCGGGGTGCCAGGTGATCCGTTACATTGGTGGCAAGCGGTGGGATGGCGTCCTAGTGCGAGGTAAAGCAGCTCAGAGACACAGTTCGTTTGGAGTTACAATTTGAGGGCAACGCCAGTACCCGTACAGCGCCCCTATCTACGAAAGAACTCAGAAAATGGAGGAGAAGTTGCAAGATAGATTGTACGGTTACGTATCCCTGAGGTCGGGAGCAGTGTCAGAGGAAGACATGTTGAGGTACAGAGAGAGTGCCAGAGCTGAGTTGTGGGACGAAGCCCTAGAGGAAGTACAGTATTCGCGAGGGGATCGGCGCCACAGCAGAAGGCAGCAAATCCTGGCTCGAATGGCAGAGCGGATGCCCCTCCTGAGGAAAAAGACCGAAGAAGCGTGGGTGATTAGACTCGAGATTTTAGTATATGCAGAACTGGCGCTCGACGACGCATACCAGGCGATACAGTGGTATGCAGCTCAGTGTGTCCCCGAGTTGGCAGAGTATGAGTTCCCAGATGGCGGAGGTTACGCTGGCCCTGGCCTATTTTGAGACAATATTGACGATGAGGACTTTGGGAAAGCTACTGACTCTCGTTTTTGGGACCTGTGTTACGACCGAGAAGACATGCTGGGGCTCCCTAGCGCTATTGACCTCGAGGCAGACATACAGTATTTGGTCACCAAGGAATGGAACCTGGAGTGGGATTACCTGCGACCCATCAATGAGGCCTGGGAAGAGACAGCCGGTCCTCTTTCCCAACAGCAACCAGCGGTACCCGAGGTAGCGGACCTCCTAGACTGGTCCTGCGAGGGTCCCCAGCGGCAGTGTGTGTCCCAGGGAGCAGAAGGTGCCGTCCTTCCTCCCCAGCGGCAGTGTGAGCTACAGGGAGCTGAAGGTGTCGTCCTTCCTCCCCAGCGGCCGTGTGTGTCCCAGGGAGCAGAAGGTGTCGTCCTTCCTCCCCAGCGGCAGTGTGTATCCCAGGGAGCTGAAGGTGTCGTCCTTCCTCCCCAGCGGCAGTGTGTACCCCAGGGAGCAGAAGGTGCCATCCTTCCTCCCCAGTGGCAGTGTGTATCCCAGGGAGCCAAAGGTGTCGTCCTTCCTCCCCAGCGGCAGTGTGTACCCCAGGGAGCTGAAGGTGCCGTCCTTCCTCCCCAGTGGCAGTGTGTACCCCAGGAAGCAGAGACCGCCTGTCTCGCATCCCAGCCGCAGGACAAAATATTGAAAGGGGAGACAGTTGGTCCCCCTCTCCACCAGCAAAGAGAGTGTCAGGGAGAGGAGCAGGTTACCCCCTCTCCCCAGCGGCAGTCTACAGTTCAGAGAGAGGAGCTTGTTACACCCTCTCTCCAGCTGCAGCCTAACCCACCAAGGGGAGATGTTAAGCCCCACAACTATGCAGGTGGGACCGTCGTCTCTGCACTTACAGCACCAGGGGTAGGGACGGTCAGTCCTGTCCCCCAGCCACAGAGCAGTGTATCCAGAGGGGAGACAGTCGGTCTCCCCCTCCCACAACCAGGCTCCAAACAGGCTACTTCAGTGGTAGCGCTGGCACCCGGGCAGAGTACCGCTGGTCTATGCCCACTCAGCAACCCACCAAGGCAGTCTACCAGCCCCCCGCACAGCCGTGGTGAGGCACCTGGACATGGACAAGTTGCTATTTTATCCAGGTGTAGTAACCAGTTATTGTGGGTGGGCTGTAATGCTGTTTGTGCTTCGTGGGTGGGTTGCTGGACTAACCAGGGCACTGACCGGCAGGAGGTCAGATACCCTGTTAGTCTGGATGGTAAAGGGGAGAAATGTGGCGAAACCGGCCTCGCCACGTGTCCTTGGAGGGGGCTGCTTGCCCGCTTCTTGCCTTTGGACTATGGACCAGACTTTATGTGAATGTGTTAACCCAGATAGCTATGCCATGGAGCCCATTCGTGTAGTTAAAGACTTCGGCTCCATGGCAATTGAACTGTGTGAATAGGATCTAAGTGCTATTCGGTAGTTTTGTGCGCTCAGATCCCAGCTATCTGGGGATATGTGACATGTCTGTGTTTTATGTATAAATGTATAGTATGTATTTTTATGTCTTTTGTTGTCCTTTGTCTGCCACGTGGCTAATGGAGTCTTGTGTCTGTCCTGGGAGATAATTGAATTACTTCTCACTTATCTCCAGGATAGAAGACTCTGAAACTGGTTTGGGCCAGAAAGCCATGCTTCATTTAGTCACAAAGGACTTTCCCTTAACTTTTGAACCCCTGGTCTGATTCGTGCCATTTTTAATATGTTGTTCCCCTGAATGGATTGATTATGAAAATGTATGTTTTATGTTTGTGACATGTATATTTTAGAAGTTATAAATATGGTGTAAAAACTGTATTCCTCTGCCGGTGATAATGAGATTACCCATTGTGTTCAGTAATCATATCACAGACAGAGGGGAGGATTTTGTGTGGGAGTGTCTGGGTGTATTGTACGGATTGATTGGTTGTTTTGTAACGCCCTGTGGGCTGTACCATGTTTGTGGATTGGGAATAAAAGAGACTGTATGTGACAGTACAGGAAGTTCCTGTTTTAACCCTCAAAGTGAAGTGTTGTCTCATTATTGGGGGAAGGATTTATTGTATGCTGTTCCAGTTTGACTGCTAGGAGAGTAAACCTATTTGTATGGTTCCTATTCAACTGTCTACAGCATTCATATGCTTGAGAGGATTCATATGCTTCTCCGGTTCGGTGGTTGTGGTGTCTGCTGCAGTGCTTGGAGTCCTCAGGAAGTGCTAGGAGCATCCTTTAACGGAAATACCCAGTCGGGGTGCCAGGCGATCCGTTACACTGCCAAAGACCTACCTAAGGGGTTAAATGACTTTATTACCTATGTGATGCAGATCGATAATAGACTCAGAACCAGGGAAATTACTAGAAACAGAACTAGACGTTTGACTTTGTAACTAGCACCTCGATTCTCCAAACCTGGTGTCCCTGACCTCTCGACACTGTGTGAACCCGAACCTATGCAGTTAGGGGTTACAGGACTGTCTGAGGCAGAGAAACAGTGTAGGAGAAAAGAGGGTCTATGCTTATATTGTGGCAAGAAAGGGCATATGAGAAATGCTTGTCCTATACATCCGGAAAACTTCCGCACCTAAGAACCTTAAGGAGACAGGTCTTAGGTGTAATGGATATGTCCACTAGTAATTCCCGAAGCAGATTTCTCCTTGAGGAGAACTTTTCATGCAAAGCCCTGGGCTGGCTGGTAACTTTATTGATTTGTATTTTGTTAAAAAAAACACACCATACCAGACAAGGAGAGATCATCACCTCTAGCTGTTGAGGCTATTGATGGGAGACCCCTATCTCAACCTCTTATTACCCATGAGACTTTGCCTATTTGCATTATGATAGGAGCTTTGCATAAGGAAGACATTACTTTCCAGATAATCGCTTCCCCTTCTTGTCCCATCGTATTAGGGTTCCCTTGGCTCATCAAACATAACCCTCATATTGACTAGACTAGGGGGGAAATACTGGAATGGGGTAGAGACTGTCAGGAAAGCTGCATGTTACCCATTTCTAAAAAAAGTGGGCATCGTTGCTTTACCCGTTGCTTCGTCTCCTGAAATTCCCATACAGTATTGGGAGGATAGATAAGCATTTAGTAAAAGCCAGAGTAATGCTCTTCCTCCACACAGATCTTATGATTGTTCCATTGATTGTTTCATTGATATATCCTATCCCAACAAGAAAGTAAAATCATGGATGAGTACATCAAGGAATCTTTAAGTAAAGGCCATATACGTAAATCATCCTCGCCTGCTGGTGCAGGGTTCTTTTTTTGTAGCTAAGAAAGGTGGAGAATTACAACCTTGCATAGACTACAGGGCATTAAACAAGATTACTATCAAAAATGCCTATCCCATTCCCTTTATATCCAAATTGTTTGATAGATTCCAGGGTGCTAAGATCTTCACTAAGCTTGACCTTAGGAGTGAGTACAATTTGGTGAGAATTAGGGAGGATTATGAATGGAAGACGGCGTTTAACACTAGGAGTGGGCACTACGAATATCTTGTTATGTCTTTCGGGTTATGTAATGCTCCGGACGTATTTCAAGACTTCATTAATGATTTACTCAGAGACTATATTTACTATTTTGTGCTTGTACAGGTGATACTCGAAAAATTAGAATATCGTGCAAATGTTCATTTATTTCTGTAATGCAACGTAAAAGGGGAAACTAATATATACATGCAAAGCAAGATAGTTCAAGCTGTGAGTTGTCATAAGTGCGATGATTATTGCTTACAGTCCTACCCTGAGTTCGTGTAAACGCTGGCTGTTGGTAATGTTCATGCTCATGATAAGGTTGTGTCTTCAGTCAGGATACTTCCAGGAGGCGGAGTATACATAATGACGTCTACTCCTGGTCAGATGACGTGTTCGCGATCGGCTTCTTCAAATCGCAACTTAGGATCCGGTGATATCTTCTACTAAGCACTTTTATTCGTATATGTGGAAATAAAGCTGTTCATTTATCCTTACTGGCTACAGTGAAAGTCTCTCTCTATATATTTGGGCTATTCAAGGTAGAGCTGTCACGGTAGTTTACCCCTACACGCAATACTTAGTTCAACAATCGACAGATAGAGCAGATACGACTTACCGGACCTAGAATGGCCAGACTCGCCGTATAGCAGAGAATAGACAGAGTCAAGAACAAGCCGAGGTCAAGGGAACAAAGAGACAGCGAGAACAAAAACTAGCCAAGGTCTGGTACACAGTAGTCAGTAAGCCGGCAAACAAGACAAAACAGGGATAGAAAGATAAACGGAGTCAGATACAAATCCAAGGTCAAGTACGAAAATCACAACTGAACACAACAAGCGCTAAAGGGAACTGAAACAGAAACCACGATAGGGCAGGGAGTTAAGGGAGAGGTAAGTATAAATACCCTAAACTTTACTTTGACTGGCCCCTGTCATATCCACGCCCCCAAAATGTGAGTGTCTGGGGAATGTGGGATGACAGGGGCCAATGGGAGCACATTTCATCTTTTGGCTCCCACTGCCCCTTTAAGAGCGTGCCCGAGACGCGCAGCACGCTCTTAGAGCTAGGCGGGACACGTGACCGCATCTCACGGCCCATGCCCGCCTTCATTCGAGAGCCGCGCACGGCGGTAAGTGAGGACCTTGGCCGGCCCCCGGGTAAGGTAAGTACCGCTACAAGAACAGACTCATCTGCTCTATGTTTGTGAGTGAATTTCTTATCTCACTATTAACTCAGTACTTCTTACCCTGCAATACTATATATGTTTTGTATTCTCTTTTATGTACTGCAATTGGAGCTGTGACTTACTGCAGATATAATATTAGTGTAAGTCAAAATTAATTAATTTATGCACTATATCACTTTGAAGTGGTTTTTGCAATCTGCATTTTTAGATCACATATGTGCTGATCGTTTGTATACACCTCATCACTTGTGAGTGAAACAGTATGTTGCACTTTATTTCACACAGCTGATGCTGCTAAATGAATTTGCACTTTGAATTTTAGCGCACCTTTTTCTGTTTTTATCATACTTCCTGTCGCACATATTATGCTAAGAATATATTAATATTTTCTTAGCATAATATGTGTGACATAAACTCCATTTTGATTCTCAAAACGATGATCAAATTAGCTTTTGGATAATCAAAATAAGAGTCATAAGATATATTTATAACATCCAATCACAACATTTGAAATAACATTTTTACATTTATATCACAAAGACTTAAACAATCATATTCCTGTAATTCTAGTTAATAAAAAAAATTTCACACTAAAAATAATCAACCAAATCTCAATGATTATCATTAATATGTCAATCGCAGTACTAGTATGTGTAGACCAATGAGCAGGAGTGATAATGTCATTGTCTTTCTCTGAGTACTTTAATTTGAGTACTTTAATGTGTCCACAGAAATATTTTTCTTTTTTTATAGACATTTGTATAGTGTAGCTAGCTAGGCTTGTGGTCCAGTATAAATTTTAGATCATGATTAGTTGGTATACAGGAAGTTTTGAAACACATCGTTAACTTGAACTCCACAACATCAGTATATATGGGATATAGTGTGACATCACCTATAGTGACACGTGAGTCTTGGGATACTTTAAACAGTAATACTGAAGAAGATAAAGCAATCACCTTATTAATAGCTTGATCCTTCCAAAATAGACTCATGTTTTGCTGACCAAACATTGATGCCTCACTAAAATATGTGTACTAGGGCATTGTCACTGGTTTTGGTCATAGTTACTTGACATTTTTCAGAACCATGTTTAATGTATTCAATCCCACAAAAAACATATGTAGAGTCATACACAAAAGGTTTTCCATCGCATTGGAAATTATTACCCTTGAACTTGACACAATCTGTCAAAAGAGGTTGGAAAGCCAATACCTCTATGGGGTTTGTATTCTCACATGGATATCATCCTTCCATATTCCTACATTATGTATGTTTTTTTTATCTGAAAAATGTTCCTCTGTGTAACTTAAGGAATTGATCATAGAAAACTGTAACGAATTCATCCGCTTATGGTAAAGTGGATAATGGTATTTATCACAAAAAAGATTAGGTGTACACTCAGTATTGGAAATTAATGATAAAAACCACCACTGGTGTGCATATGGAGCGCTTACAAATTTGTTGACTCACCCATATGGGCTAACAGAAGTATTACTTTAACACTGTTTATTTCAGACAGGTACTGGAAGAGGTACTAGTAAACAGATTTTTGTAATGCTAATACATTAGATTGTTTTAATTTGATCACAGTATTTATTTATAAAATATTTTACCAGGAAAGATACATTGAGATTTCTCTCATTTTCAAGTATGTCCTGGGTCCACAAAACATTGCATTGACACAATAGGGTACACTAAAATACAAAAACAATATTAATACACAACATATACAAAATTTGACATAGAACAGGTAGGAAATATATCATCAACCATGACAGGTGCATTCTGTTTTGAGATATGTAGAGGGATCTCTTAAAGGTCGTTCCATAATTGCGGTGCTCTGTAGGAAAAGGAGGATCGGGCTGCTTTCTTATTGTATTGAGGTAAACTAAATAAAGTACTGGTACTGGATCGGAGGTTATAGGAGGTGGGAATAGCCGGGGAGAGCATTCTGCTCAGGTAGGGTGGGAGCTTCCCAGAAAAGCTCTTAAACACAAGGCTGGAAAGATGAAGGGTGCGTCTGGATTCCAGCAACAGCCAGTTTAGTTATTTTAGCATGTCACAATGGTGGGTCATGTAATTACATTGTAGCACAAATCGGCAGAACGAGTTATACAATGTATTGAGTTTATTAAGGTGGGTTTGCAGTGCAGGTGCATATACTACATCCCCATAATCAACGATTGGCATCAGCATTTGCTGAAGAATATTAATACACAATATATAGAACATTTAACATAGAACAGGTAGGAAATATATAATCAACCATGACACGTGCATTCTGTTTTGAGGTATGTAGATCCACCCACAATAACAGTCCAGTACCATGATACCGGGCAGATCCCCTCTGCACAAGAGCTAGCGCAAATCAGATGATCATTTCAATCTTGGTGTACCTCGTCATTGATGTGAGGCTTGAACACCTCTTGGCACAACTGAGCAATGGATTTGTGACTGGAATACGATTTTACCTTTTAAACTAAAGCCAAGTAAAATAGAACTTTATTAGTCCACAAGATAATATGCTATCCTCAGACAAGGGGCAAAAGAAGACAAAGATAATATGTCTAATAGGAAAGATAGCAGAAATGTGTAAAAAAAAAAAAAAGAGCGGTAGAAAAAAAAGTATATTCACAAATTCACATTAATGTACCACCAAACTAAGTAGAGGATCTCATACCTGTTAGAAAAGTAGTTGGAAATGTTTAGTCATATTATGGATAAAGACTGTAAGCCAGTGATTACAGCCAACCAGATCCACAGGTGGGGTATTTAAACCCAATTCTCCTCTTGCTCAGTGCCCTGTTGTGGTTTCATGCCTATGGCTATCTGAGAGTGCGTTCCTGGTCTTGATTTTCTGGTATTTGACTTTGGCTTTGTTTTGACTTCCCTGATATCTGGTATCCTTGACTTTTGGCTTTCCCTCATCTTTGTGTCTGATTCTGTGTCCCTGACCTCGGCAAGTATTTTGACTATTCTTGGAGACGTTAAGTCCGGCAATTCTAATGTCCGGTTATACGTTATCCTTAGTCCTAGGTGTGACACAGTACTGCGTGCTGGATCAACTTGTAATCCTGACATTACGACATGGCCATAGATCCTGCAGAATTGTGTCAGCACATAGCAGCTTGTGAGAGAAAGCTAGAGGAGAATAATCACCGTATGGATCAATTTGCCCAGGCTTTTAGCACATTCTTACTAGGATGGCTCATTTATAACCTGAGGCTTCTCCAATTATTTCACCACTGCCTTATGTACATCCACCTATAGTATATAAGGCACCTACGATCTCCTTTTCTCCTCCCCTGCCTTTTTCTGGTAATATCCAGGAATGTAGGGGATTTCTCAAATAGATTGAGTACCACTTTGAGGCCTCACCTGGTTCATTTCCTTCATATAGAGCTAAAATTGGGTATCTGATGAACCAACTTAAAGGTAAGGCCTTAACCTGGGCTAATCCACTGTGGGAAAGTAATAGGGGTATCGCTCATGTTACCAGGTATTCCTGGCGGAATTCAAACTGACGTTTGAACCATTAGGCAGAGAGGAAGACGCCTCCACTGCCCTAATGCATATAAAACAAGGGAACCAGTCTATCTCGATTGCTAAACTTTTCAATAGTCTATAACACATGCCTACTCTGCCCCCCTCTCCCCCTCCCCCTCTCACACTCTCCTTTTCCCCTCCCCAGTCATAAATACCTTCATTGACTGTTCTATCTCTATTCCTCAGGCCTCACTTCACAATCAACTCAGTGAAGACTCTCATTTTCTCCCCACTTCCCACCCACCCTCCCCTCCTCCCACCCACCCAGGCTCCCCTTAAATATATAGCATGCTCCTCCAGCTGTTCGAGATTCTCACCCAATTACCTGTTCATTCCCCTAACATCTTACCAATAGCTGCTTCTCTGTTAACTCTTTCAGCCATCACCTCCAAACTTCCCCTGCTACCTTTTGTCTCAAATCCCCCTGGTATCCTTTAGATTGTAAGCTCAAGGGCCATCTAGCTAAGCACTTTGTATAAAAGAGCTCCAATGGCTAGATATCAGCTTACGGGCAGGGCTCTCTTACCTCTTGTATTTGTTCGTGTATATTGTACGTTTCTCAACTAATTGTACAGCGCTGCGGAATCTGTGTGCGCTTTATAAATTGCAATAATAATAATAATAATAATAATTATGCCATAGAATTTTATACCTTGGCATCTGAGGTAGACTGGACTAACAACGGACTTTATGAAATTGCTGCCTGTGGCGAAACCGGCCTCGCCATGTGTCCTTGGAGGGGGCTGCTTGCCCGCCTCTTGCCTTTGGACTATGAACCAGACTTTATGTGAATGTGTTAACCCAGATAGCTATGCCATGGAGCCCATTCGTGTAGTTAAAGACTTCGGCTCCATGGCAATTGAACTGTGTGAATAGGATCTAAGTGCTATTCGGTAGTTTTGTGCGCTCAGATCCCAGCTATCTGGGGATATGTGACATGTCTGTGTTTTATGTATAAATGTATAGTATGTATTTTTATGTCTTTTGTTGTCCTTTGTCTGCCATGTGGCTAGTGGAGTCTTGTGTCTGTCCTGGGAGATAATTGAATTACTTCTCACTTATCTCCAGGATAGAAGACTCTGAAACTGGTTTGGGCCAGAAAGCCATGCTTCATTTAGTCACAAAGGACTTTCCCTTAACTTTTGAACCCCTGGTCTGATTCGTGCCATTTTTTTAATATGTTGTTCCCTGAATGGATTGATTATGAAAATGTATGTTTTATGTTTGTGACATGTATATTTTAGAAGTTATAAATATTGTGTAAAAACTGTATTCCTCTGCCGGTGATAATGAGATTACCCATTGTGTTCAGTAATTATATCACAGACAGAGGGGAGGATTTTGTGTGGGAGTGTCTGGGTGTATTGTATGGATTCATTGGTTGTTTTGTAACGCCCTGTGGGCTGTACTAGGTTTGTGGATTGGGAATAAAAGAGACTGTATGTGACAGTACAGGAAGTTCCTGTTTTAACCCTCAAAGTGAAGTGTCATCTCATTATTGGGGGAAGGATTTATTGTATGCTGTTCCAGTTTGACTGCTAGGAGAGTAAACCTATTTGTATGGTTCCTATTCAACTGTCTACAGCATTCATATGCTTGAGAGGATTCATATGCTTCTCCGGTTCGGTGGTTGTGGTGTCTGCTGCAGTGCTTGGAGTCCTCAGGAAGTGCTAGGAGCATCCTTTAACGGAGGTACCCAATCGGGGTGCCAGGCGATCCGTTACATTGGTGGCAGCGGTGGGATGGCGTCCTAGTGCGAGGTAAAGCAGCTCAGAAACACAGTTCGTTTGGAGTTACAATTTGAGGGCAACGCCAGTACCCGTACAGCGCCCCTATCTACGAAAGAACTCAGAAAATGGAGGAGAAGTTGCAAGATAGATTGTACGGTTACGTATCCCTGAGGTCGGGAGCAGTGTCAGAGGAAGACATGTTGAGGTACAGAGAGAGTGCCAGAGCTGAGTTGTGGGACGAAGCCCTAGAGGAAGTACAGTATTCGCGAGGGGATCGGCGCCACAGCAGAAGGCAGCAAATCCTGGCTCGAATGGCAGAGCGGATGCCCCTCCTGAGGAAAAAGACCGAAGAAGCGTGGGTGATTAGACTCGAGATTTTAGTATATGCAGAACTGGCGCTCGACGACGCATACCAGGCGATACAGTGGTATGCAGCTCAGTGTGTCCCCGAGTTGGCAGAGTATGAGTTCCCAGATGGCGGAGGTTACGCTGGCCCTGGCCTATTTTGAGACAATATTGACGATGAGGACTTTGGGAAAGCTACTGACTCTCGTTTTTGGGACCTGTGTTACGACCGAGAAGACATGCTGGGGCTCCCTAGCGCTATTGACCTCGAGGCAGACATACAGTATTTGGTCACCAAGGAATGGAACCTGGAGTGGGATTACCTGCGACCCATCAATGAGGCCTGGGAAGAGACAGCCGGTCCTCTTTCCCAACAGCAACCAGCGGTACCCGAGGTAGCGGACCTCCTAGACTGGTCCTGCGAGGGTCCCCAGCGGCAGTGTGTGTCCCAGGGAGCAGAAGGTGCCGTCCTTCCTCCCCAGCGGCAGTGTGAGCTACAGGGAGCTGAAGGTGTCGTCCTTCCTCCCCAGCGGCCGTGTGTGTCCCAGGGAGCAGAAGGTGTCGTCCTTCCTCCCCAGCGGCAGTGTGTATCCCAGGGAGCTGAAGGTGTCGTCCTTCCTCCCCAGCGGCAGTGTGTACCCCAGGGAGCAGAAGGTGCCGTCCTTCCTCCCCAGCGGCAGTGTGTATCCCAGGGAGCCAAAGGTGTCGTCCTTCCTCCCCAGCGGCAGTGTGTACCCCAGGGAGCTGAAGGTGCCGTCCTTCCTCCCCAGCGGCAGTGTGTACCCCAGGAAGCAGAGACCGTCTGTCTCGCACCCCAGCCGCAGGACAAAATATTGAAAGGGGAGACAGTTGGTCCCCCTCTCCACCAGCAAAGAGAGTGTCAGGGAGAGGAGCAGGTTACCCCCTCTCCCCAGCGGCAGTCTACAGTTCAGAGAGAGGAGCTTGTTACACCCTCTCTCCAGCTGCAGCCTAACCCACCAAGGGGAGATGTTAAGCCCCACAACTATGCAGGTGGGACCGTCGTCTCTGCACTTACAGCACCAGGGGTAGGGACGGTCAGTCCTGTCCCCCAGCCACAGAGCAGTGTATCCAGAGGGGAGACAGTCGGTCTCCCCCTCCCACAACCAGGCTCCAACCAGGCTACTTCAGTGGTAGCGCTGGCACCCGGGCAGAGTACCGCTGGTCTCTGCCCACTCAGCAACCCACCAAGGCAGTCTACCAGCCCCCCGCACAGCCGTGGTGAGGCACCTGGACATGGACAAGTTGCTATTTTATCCAGGTGTAGTAACCAGTTATTGTGGGTGGGCTGTAATGCTGTTTGTGCTTCGTGGGTGGGTTGCTGGACTAACCAGGGCACTGACCGGCAGGAGGTCAGATACCCTGTTAGTCTGGATGGTAAAGGGGAGAAATGTGGCGAAACCGGCCTCGCCACGTGTCCTTGGAGGGGGCTGCTTGCCCGCCTCTTGCCTTTGGACTATGGACCAGACTTTATGTGAATGTGTTAACCCAGATAGCTATGCCATGGAGCCCATTCGTGTAGTTAAAGACTTCGGCTCCATGGCAATTGAACTGTGTGAATAGGATCTAAGTGCTATTCGGTAGTTTTGTGCGCTCAGATCCCAGCTATCTGGGGATATGTGACATGTCTGTGTTTTATGTATAAATGTATAGTATGTATTTTTATGTCTTTTGTTGTCCTTTGTCTGCCACGTGGCTAATGGAGTCTTGTGTCTGTCCTGGGAGATAATTGAATTACTTCTCACTTATCTCCAGGATAGAAGACTCTGAAACTGGTTTGGGCCAGAAAGCCATGCTTCATTTAGTCACAAAGGACTTTCCCTTAACTTTTGAACCCCTGGTCTGATTCGTGCCATTTTTTAATATGTTGTTCCCCTGAATGGATTGATTATGAAAATGTATGTTTTATGTTTGTGACATGTATATTTTAGAAGTTATAAATATGGTGTAAAAACTGTATTCCTCTGCCGGTGATAATGAGATTACCCATTGTGTTCAGTAATCATATCACAGACAGAGGGGAGGATTTTGTGTGGGAGTGTCTGGGTGTATTGTACGGATTGATTGGTTGTTTTGTAACGCCCTGTGGGCTGTACCATGTTTGTGGATTGGGAATAAAAGAGACTGTATGTGACAGTACAGGAAGTTCCTGTTTTAACCCTCAAAGTGAAGTGTTGTCTCATTATTGGGGGAAGGATTTATTGTATGCTGTTCCAGTTTGACTGCTAGGAGAGTAAACCTATTTGTATGGTTCCTATTCAACTGTCTACAGCATTCATATGCTTGAGAGGATTCATATGCTTCTCCGGTTCGGTGGTTGTGGTGTCTGCTGCAGTGCTTGGAGTCCTCAGGAAGTGCTAGGAGCATCCTTTAACGGAAATACCCAGTCGGGGTGCCAGGCGATCCGTTACACTGCCAAAGACCTACCTAAGGGGTTAAATGACTTTATTACCTATGTGATGCAGATCGATAATAGACTCAGAACCAGGGAAATTACTAGAAACAGAACTAGACGTTTGACTTTGTAACTAGCACCTCGATTCTCCAAACCTGGTGTCCCTGACCTCTCGACACTGTGTGAACCCGAACCTATGCAGTTAGGGGTTACAGGACTGTCTGAGGCAGAGAAACAGTGTAGGAGAAAAGAGGGTCTATGCTTATATTGTGGCAAGAAAGGGCATATGAGAAATGCTTGTCCTATACATCCGGAAAACTTCCGCACCTAAGAACCTTAAGGAGACAGGTCTTAGGTGTAATGGATATGTCCACTAGTAATTCCCGAAGCAGATTTCTCCTTGAGGAGAACTTTTCATGCAAAGCCCTGGGCTGGCTGGTAACTTTATTGATTTGTATTTTGTTAAAAAAAACACACCATACCAGACAAGGAGAGATCATCACCTCTAGCTGTTGAGGCTATTGATGGGAGACCCCTATCTCAACCTCTTATTACCCATGAGACTTTGCCTATTTGCATTATGATAGGAGCTTTGCATAAGGAAGACATTACTTTCCAGATAATCGCTTCCCCTTCTTGTCCCATCGTATTAGGGTTCCCTTGGCTCATCAAACATAACCCTCATATTGACTAGACTAGGGGGGAAATACTGGAATGGGGTAGAGACTGTCAGGAAAGCTGCATGTTACCCATTTCTAAAAAAAGTGGGCATCGTTGCTTTACCCGTTGCTTCGTCTCCTGAAATTCCCATACAGTATTGGGAGGATAGATAAGCATTTAGTAAAAGCCAGAGTAATGCTCTTCCTCCACACAGATCTTATGATTGTTCCATTGATTGTTTCATTGATATATCCTATCCCAACAAGAAAGTAAAATCATGGATGAGTACATCAAGGAATCTTTAAGTAAAGGCCATATACGTAAATCATCCTCGCCTGCTGGTGCAGGGTTCTTTTTTTGTAGCTAAGAAAGGTGGAGAATTACAACCTTGCATAGACTACAGGGCATTAAACAAGATTACTATCAAAAATGCCTATCCCATTCCCTTTATATCCAAATTGTTTGATAGATTCCAGGGTGCTAAGATCTTCACTAAGCTTGACCTTAGGAGTGAGTACAATTTGGTGAGAATTAGGGAGGATTATGAATGGAAGACGGCGTTTAACACTAGGAGTGGGCACTACGAATATCTTGTTATGTCTTTCGGGTTATGTAATGCTCCGGACGTATTTCAAGACTTCATTAATGATTTACTCAGAGACTATATTTACTATTTTGTGCTTGTACAGGTGATACTCGAAAAATTAGAATATCGTGCAAATGTTCATTTATTTCTGTAATGCAACGTAAAAGGGGAAACTAATATATACATGCAAAGCAAGATAGTTCAAGCTGTGAGTTGTCATAAGTGCGATGATTATTGCTTACAGTCCTACCCTGAGTTCGTGTAAACGCTGGCTGTTGGTAATGTTCATGCTCATGATAAGGTTGTGTCTTCAGTCAGGATACTTCCAGGAGGCGGAGTATACATAATGACGTCTACTCCTGGTCAGATGACGTGTTCGCGATCGGCTTCTTCAAATCGCAACTTAGGATCCGGTGATATCTTCTACTAAGCACTTTTATTCGTATATGTGGAAATAAAGCTGTTCATTTATCCTTACTGGCTACAGTGAAAGTCTCTCTCTATATATTTGGGCTATTCAAGGTAGAGCTGTCACGGTAGTTTACCCCTACACGCAATACTTAGTTCAACAATCGACAGATAGAGCAGATACGACTTACCGGACCTAGAATGGCCAGACTCGCCGTATAGCAGAGAATAGACAGAGTCAAGAACAAGCCGAGGTCAAGGGAACAAAGAGACAGCGAGAACAAAAACTAGCCAAGGTCTGGTACACAGTAGTCAGTAAGCCGGCAAACAAGACAAAACAGGGATAGAAAGATAAACGGAGTCAGATACAAATCCAAGGTCAAGTACGAAAATCACAACTGAACACAACAAGCGCTAAAGGGAACTGAAACAGAAACCACGATAGGGCAGGGAGTTAAGGGAGAGGTAAGTATAAATACCCTAAACTTTACTTTGACTGGCCCCTGTCATATCCACGCCCCCAAAATGTGAGTGTCTGGGGAATGTGGGATGACAGGGGCCAATGGGAGCACATTTCATCTTTTGGCTCCCACTGCCCCTTTAAGAGCGTGCCCGAGACGCGCAGCACGCTCTTAGAGCTAGGCGGGACACGTGACCGCATCTCACGGCCCATGCCCGCCTTCATTCGAGAGCCGCGCACGGCGGTAAGTGAGGACCTTGGCCGGCCCCCGGGTAAGGTAAGTACCGCTACAAGAACAGACTCATCTGCTCTATGTTTGTGAGTGAATTTCTTATCTCACTATTAACTCAGTACTTCTTACCCTGCAATACTATATATGTTTTGTATTCTCTTTTATGTACTGCAATTGGAGCTGTGACTTACTGCAGATATAATATTAGTGTAAGTCAAAATTAATTAATTTATGCACTATATCACTTTGAAGTGGTTTTTGCAATCTGCATTTTTAGATCACATATGTGCTGATCGTTTGTATACACCTCATCACTTGTGAGTGAAACAGTATGTTGCACTTTATTTCACACAGCTGATGCTGCTAAATGAATTTGCACTTTGAATTTTAGCGCACCTTTTTCTGTTTTTATCATACTTCCTGTCGCACATATTATGCTAAGAATATATTAATATTTTCTTAGCATAATATGTGTGACATAAACTCCATTTTGATTCTCAAAACGATGATCAAATTAGCTTTTGGATAATCAAAATAAGAGTCATAAGATATATTTATAACATCCAATCACAACATTTGAAATAACATTTTTACATTTATATCACAAAGACTTAAACAATCATATTCCTGTAATTCTAGTTAATAAAAAAAATTTCACACTAAAAATAATCAACCAAATCTCAATGATTATCATTAATATGTCAATCGCAGTACTAGTATGTGTAGACCAATGAGCAGGAGTGATAATGTCATTGTCTTTCTCTGAGTACTTTAATTTGAGTACTTTAATGTGTCCACAGAAATATTTTTCTTTTTTTATAGACATTTGTATAGTGTAGCTAGCTAGGCTTGTGGTCCAGTATAAATTTTAGATCATGATTAGTTGGTATACAGGAAGTTTTGAAACACATCGTTAACTTGAACTCCACAACATCAGTATATATGGGATATAGTGTGACATCACCTATAGTGACACGTGAGTCTTGGGATACTTTAAACAGTAATACTGAAGAAGATAAAGCAATCACCTTATTAATAGCTTGATCCTTCCAAAATAGACTCATGTTTTGCTGACCAAACATTGATGCCTCACTAAAATATGTGTACTAGGGCATTGTCACTGGTTTTGGTCATAGTTACTTGACATTTTTCAGAACCATGTTTAATGTATTCAATCCCACAAAAAACATATGTAGAGTCATACACAAAAGGTTTTCCATCGCATTGGAAATTATTACCCTTGAACTTGACACAATCTGTCAAAAGAGGTTGGAAAGCCAATACCTCTATGGGGTTTGTATTCTCACATGGATATCATCCTTCCATATTCCTACATTATGTATGTTTTTTTTATCTGAAAAATGTTCCTCTGTGTAACTTAAGGAATTGATCATAGAAAACTGTAACGAATTCATCCGCTTATGGTAAAGTGGATAATGGTATTTATCACAAAAAAGATTAGGTGTACACTCAGTATTGGAAATTAATGATAAAAACCACCACTGGTGTGCATATGGAGCGCTTACAAATTTGTTGACTCACCCATATGGGCTAACAGAAGTATTACTTTAACACTGTTTATTTCAGACAGGTACTGGAAGAGGTACTAGTAAACAGATTTTTGTAATGCTAATACATTAGATTGTTTTAATTTGATCACAGTATTTATTTATAAAATATTTTACCAGGAAAGATACATTGAGATTTCTCTCATTTTCAAGTATGTCCTGGGTCCACAAAACATTGCATTGACACAATAGGGTACACTAAAATACAAAAACAATATTAATACACAACATATACAAAATTTGACATAGAACAGGTAGGAAATATATCATCAACCATGACAGGTGCATTCTGTTTTGAGATATGTAGAGGGATCTCTTAAAGGTCGTTCCATAATTGCGGTGCTCTGTAGGAAAAGGAGGATCGGGCTGCTTTCTTATTGTATTGAGGTAAACTAAATAAAGTACTGGTACTGGATCGGAGGTTATAGGAGGTGGGAATAGCCGGGGAGAGCATTCTGCTCAGGTAGGGTGGGAGCTTCCCAGAAAAGCTCTTAAACACAAGGCTGGAAAGATGAAGGGTGCGTCTGGATTCCAGCAACAGCCAGTTTAGTTATTTTAGCATGTCACAATGGTGGGTCATGTAATTACATTGTAGCACAAATCGGCAGAACGAGTTATACAATGTATTGAGTTTATTAAGGTGGGTTTGCAGTGCAGGTGCATATACTACATCCCCATAATCAACGATTGGCATCAGCATTTGCTGAAGAATATTAATACACAATATATAGAACATTTAACATAGAACAGGTAGGAAATATATAATCAACCATGACACGTGCATTCTGTTTTGAGGTATGTAGATCCACCCACAATAACAGTCCAGTACCATGATACCGGGCAGATCCCCTCTGCACAAGAGCTAGCGCAAATCAGATGATCATTTCAATCTTGGTGTACCTCGTCATTGATGTGAGGCTTGAACACCTCTTGGCACAACTGAGCAATGGATTTGTGACTGGAATACGATTTTACCTTTTAAACTAAAGCCAAGTAAAATAGAACTTTATTAGTCCACAAGATAATATGCTATCCTCAGACAAGGGGCAAAAGAAGACAAAGATAATATGTCTAATAGGAAAGATAGCAGAAATGTGTAAAAAGAGCGGTAGAAAAAAAAGTATATTCACAAATTCACATTAATGTACCACCAAACTAAGTAGAGGATCTCATACCTGTTAGAAAAGTAGTTGGAAATGTTTAGTCATATTATGGATAAAGACTGTAAGCCAGTGATTACAGCCAACCAGATCCACAGGTGGGGTATTTAAACCCAATTCTCCTCTTGCTCAGTGCCCTGTTGTGGTTTCATGCCTATGGCTATCTGAGAGTGCGTTCCTGGTCTTGATTTTCTGGTATTTGACTTTGGCTTTGTTTTGACTTCCCTGATATCTGGTATCCTTGACTTTTGGCTTTCCCTCATCTTTGTGTCTGATTCTGTGTCCCTGACCTCGGCAAGTATTTTGACTATTCTTGGAGACGTTAAGTCCGGCAATTCTAATGTCCGGTTATACGTTATCCTTAGTCCTAGGTGTGACACAGTACTGCGTGCTGGATCAACTTGTAATCCTGACATTACGACATGGCCATAGATCCTGCAGAATTGTGTCAGCACATAGCAGCTTGTGAGAGAAAGCTAGAGGAGAATAATCACCGTATGGATCAATTTGCCCAGGCTTTTAGCACATTCTTACTAGGATGGCTCATTTATAACCTGAGGCTTCTCCAATTATTTCACCACTGCCTTATGTACATCCACCTATAGTATATAAGGCACCTACGATCTCCTTTTCTCCTCCCCTGCCTTTTTCTGGTAATATCCAGGAATGTAGGGGATTTCTCAAATAGATTGAGTACCACTTTGAGGCCTCACCTGGTTCATTTCCTTCATATAGAGCTAAAATTGGGTATCTGATGAACCAACTTAAAGGTAAGGCCTTAACCTGGGCTAATCCACTGTGGGAAAGTAATAGGGGTATCGCTCATGTTACCAGGTATTCCTGGCGGAATTCAAACTGACGTTTGAACCATTAGGCAGAGAGGAAGACGCCTCCACTGCCCTAATGCATATAAAACAAGGGAACCAGTCTATCTCGATTGCTAAACTTTTCAATAGTCTATAACACATGCCTACTCTGCCCCCCTCTCCCCCTCCCCCTCTCACACTCTCCTTTTCCCCTCCCCAGTCGTAAATACCTTCATTGACTGTTCTATCTCTATTCCTCAGGCCTCACTTCACAATCAACTCAGTGAAGACTCTCATTTTCTCCCCACTTCCCACCCACCCTCCCCTCCTCCCACCCACCCAGGCTCCCCTTAAATATATAGCATGCTCCTCCAGCTGTTCGAGATTCTCACCCAATTACCTGTTCATTCCCCTAACATCTTACCAATAGCTGCTTCTCTGTTAACTCTTTCAGCCATCACCTCCAAACTTCCCCTGCTACCTTTTGTCTCAAATCCCCCTGGTATCCTTTAGATTGTAAGCTCAAGGGCCATCTAGCTAAGCACTTTGTATAAAAGAGCTCCAATGGCTAGATATCAGCTTACGGGCAGGGCTCTCTTACCTCTTGTATTTGTTCGTGTATATTGTACGTTTCTCAACTAATTGTACAGCGCTGCGGAATCTGTGTGCGCTTTATAAATTGCAATAATAATAATAATAATAATAATTATGCCATAGAATTTTATACCTTGGCATCTGAGGTAGACTGGACTAACAACGGACTTTATGAAATTGCTGCCTGTGGCGAAACCGGCCTCGCCATGTGTCCTTGGAGGGGGCTGCTTGCCCGCCTCTTGCCTTTGGACTATGAACCAGACTTTATGTGAATGTGTTAACCCAGATAGCTATGCCATGGAGCCCATTCGTGTAGTTAAAGACTTCGGCTCCATGGCAATTGAACTGTGTGAATAGGATCTAAGTGCTATTCGGTAGTTTTGTGCGCTCAGATCCCAGCTATCTGGGGATATGTGACATGTCTGTGTTTTATGTATAAATGTATAGTATGTATTTTTATGTCTTTTGTTGTCCTTTGTCTGCCATGTGGCTAGTGGAGTCTTGTGTCTGTCCTGGGAGATAATTGAATTACTTCTCACTTATCTCCAGGATAGAAGACTCTGAAACTGGTTTGGGCCAGAAAGCCATGCTTCATTTAGTCACAAAGGACTTTCCCTTAACTTTTGAACCCCTGGTCTGATTCGTGCCATTTTTTAATATGTTGTTCCCCTGAATGGATTGATTATGAAAATGTATGTTTTATGTTTGTGACATGTATATTTTAGAAGTTATAAATATTGTGTAAAAACTGTATTCCTCTGCCGGTGATAATGAGATTACCCATTGTGTTCAGTAATTATATCACAGACAGAGGGGAGGATTTTGTGTGGGAGTGTCTGGGTGTATTGTATGGATTCATTGGTTGTTTTGTAACGCCCTGTGGGCTGTACTAGGTTTGTGGATTGGGAATAAAAGAGACTGTATGTGACAGTACAGGAAGTTCCTGTTTTAACCCTCAAAGTGAAGTGTCATCTCATTATTGGGGGAAGGATTTATTGTATGCTGTTCCAGTTTGACTGCTAGGAGAGTAAACCTATTTGTATGGTTCCTATTCAACTGTCTACAGCATTCATATGCTTGAGAGGATTCATATGCTTCTCCGGTTCGGTGGTTGTGGTGTCTGCTGCAGTGCTTGGAGTCCTCAGGAAGCGCTAGGAGCATCCTTTAACGGAGGTACCCAGTCGGGGTGCCAGGCGATCCGTTACATTGGTGGCAGCGGTGGGATGGCGTCCTAGTGCGAGGTAAAGCAGCTCAGAAACACAGTTCGTTTGGAGTTACAATTTGAGGGCAACGCCAGTACCCGTACAGCGCCCCTATCTACGAAAGAACTCAGAAAATGGAGGAGAAGTTGCAAGATAGATTGTACGGTTACGTATCCCTGAGGTCGGGAGCAGTGTCAGAGGAAGACATGTTGAGGTACAGAGAGAGTGCCAGAGCTGAGTTGTGGGACGAAGCCCTAGAGGAAGTACAGTATTCGCGAGGGGATCGGCGCCACAGCAGAAGGCAGCAAATCCTGGCTCGAATGGCAGAGCGGATGCCCCTCCTGAGGAAAAAGACCGAAGAAGCGTGGGTGATTAGACTCGAGATTTTAGTATATGCAGAACTGGCGCTCGACGACGCATACCAGGCGATACAGTGGTATGCAGCTCAGTGTGTCCCCGAGTTGGCAGAGTATGAGTTCCCAGATGGCGGAGGTTACGCTGGCCCTGGCCTATTTTGAGACAATATTGACGATGAGGACTTTGGGAAAGCTACTGACTCTCGTTTTTGGGACCTGTGTTACGACCGAGAAGACATGCTGGGGCTCCCTAGCGCTATTGACCTCGAGGCAGACATACAGTATTTGGTCACCAAGGAATGGAACCTGGAGTGGGATTACCTGCGACCCATCAATGAGGCCTGGGAAGAGACAGCCGGTCCTCTTTCCCAACAGCAACCAGCGGTACCCGAGGTAGCGGACCTCCTAGACTGGTCCTGCGAGGGTCCCCAGCGGCAGTGTGTGTCCCAGGGAGCAGAAGGTGCCGTCCTTCCTCCCCAGCGGCAGTGTGAGCTACAGGGAGCTGAAGGTGTCGTCCTTCCTCCCCAGCGGCCGTGTGTGTCCCAGGGAGCAGAAGGTGTCGTCCTTCCTCCCCAGCGGCAGTGTGTATCCCAGGGAGCTGAAGGTGTCGTCCTTCCTCCCCAGCGGCAGTGTGTACCCCAGGGAGCAGAAGGTGCCGTCCTTCCTCCCCAGCGGCAGTGTGTATCCCAGGGAGCCAAAGGTGTCGTCCTTCCTCCCCAGCGGCAGTGTGTACCCCAGGGAGCTGAAGGTGCCGTCCTTCCTCCCCAGCGGCAGTGTGTACCCCAGGAAGCAGAGACCGTCTGTCTCGCACCCCAGCCGCAGGACAAAATATTGAAAGGGGAGACAGTTGGTCCCCCTCTCCACCAGCAAAGAGAGTGTCAGGGAGAGGAGCAGGTTACCCCCTCTCCCCAGCGGCAGTCTACAGTTCAGAGAGAGGAGCTTGTTACACCCTCTCTCCAGCTGCAGCCTAACCCACCAAGGGGAGATGTTAAGCCCCACAACTATGCAGGTGGGACCGTCGTCTCTGCACTTACAGCACCAGGGGTAGGGACGGTCAGTCCTGTCCCCCAGCCACAGAGCAGTGTATCCAGAGGGGAGACAGTCGGTCTCCCCCTCCCACAACCAGGCTCCAACCAGGCTACTTCAGTGGTAGCGCTGGCACCCGGGCAGAGTACCGCTGGTCTCTGCCCACTCAGCAACCCACCAAGGCAGTCTACCAGCCCCCCGCACAGCCGTGGTGAGGCACCTGGACATGGACAAGTTGCTATTTTATCCAGGTGTAGTAACCAGTTATTGTGGGTGGGCTGTAATGCTGTTTGTGCTTCGTGGGTGGGTTGCTGGACTAACCAGGGCACTGACCGGCAGGAGGTCAGATACCCTGTTAGTCTGGATGGTAAAGGGGAGAAATGTGGCGAAACCGGCCTCGCCACGTGTCCTTGGAGGGGGCTGCTTGCCCGCCTCTTGCCTATGGACCAGACTTTATGTGAATGTGTTAACCCAGATAGCTATGCCATGGAGCCCATTCGTGTAGTTAAAGACTTCGGCTCCATGGCAATTGAACTGTGTGAATAGGATCTAAGTGCTATTCGGTAGTTTTGTGCGCTCAGATCCCAGCTATCTGGGGATATGTGACATGTCTGTGTTTTATGTATAAATGTATAGTATGTATTTTTATGTCTTTTGTTGTCCTTTGTCTGCCACGTGGCTAATGGAGTCTTGTGTCTGTCCTGGGAGATAATTGAATTACTTCTCACTTATCTCCAGGATAGAAGACTCTGAAACTGGTTTGGGCCAGAAAGCCATGCTTCATTTAGTCACAAAGGACTTTCCCTTAACTTTTGAACCCCTGGTCTGATTCGTGCCATTTTTTTATATGTTGTTCCCCTGAATGGATTGATTATGAAAATGTATGTTTTATGTTTGTGACATGTATATTTTAGAAGTTATAAATATGGTGTAAAAACTGTATTCCTCTGCCGGTGATAATGAGATTACCCATTGTGTTCAGTAATCATATCACAGACAGAGGGGAGGATTTTGTGTGGGAGTGTCTGGGTGTATTGTACGGATTGATTGGTTGTTTTGTAACGCCCTGTGGGCTGTACCATGTTTGTGGATTGGGAATAAAAGAGACTGTATGTGACAGTACAGGAAGTTCCTGTTTTAACCCTCAAAGTGAAGTGTTGTCTCATTATTGGGGGAAGGATTTATTGTATGCTGTTCCAGTTTGACTGCTAGGAGAGTAAACCTATTTGTATGGTTCCTATTCAACTGTCTACAGCATTCATATGCTTGAGAGGATTCATATGCTTCTCCGGTTCGGTGGTTGTGGTGTCTGCTGCAGTGCTTGGAGTCCTCAGGAAGTGCTAGGAGCATCCTTTAACGGAAATACCCAGTCGGGGTGCCAGGCGATCCGTTACACTGCCAAAGACCTACCTAAGGGGTTAAATGACTTTATTACCTATGTGATGCAGATCGATAATAGACTCAGAACCAGGGAAATTACTAGAAACAGAACTAGACGTTTGACTTTGTAACTAGCACCTCGATTCTCCAAACCTGGTGTCCCTGACCTCTCGACACTGTGTGAACCCGAACCTATGCAGTTAGGGGTTACAGGACTGTCTGAGGCAGAGAAACAGTGTAGGAGAAAAGAGGGTCTATGCTTATATTGTGGCAAGAAAGGGCATATGAGAAATGCTTGTCCTATACATCCGGAAAACTTCCGCACCTAAGAACCTTAAGGAGACAGGTCTTAGGTGTAATGGATATGTCCACTAGTAATTCCCGAAGCAGATTTCTCCTTGAGGAGAACTTTTCATGCAAAGCCCTGGGCTGGCTGGTAACTTTATTGATTTGTATTTTGTTAAAAAAAACACACCATACCAGACAAGGAGAGATCATCACCTCTAGCTGTTGAGGCTATTGATGGGAGACCCCTATCTCAACCTCTTATTACCCATGAGACTTTGCCTATTTGCATTATGATAGGAGCTTTGCATAAGGAAGACATTACTTTCCAGATAATCGCTTCCCCTTCTTGTCCCATCGTATTAGGGTTCCCTTGGCTCATCAAACATAACCCTCATATTGACTAGACTAGGGGGGAAATACTGGAATGGGGTAGAGACTGTCAGGAAAGCTGCATGTTACCCATTTCTAAAAAAAGTGGGCATCGTTGCTTTACCCGTTGCTTCGTCTCCTGAAATTCCCATACAGTATTGGGAGGATAGATAAGCATTTAGTAAAAGCCAGAGTAATGCTCTTCCTCCACACAGATCTTATGATTGTTCCATTGATTGTTTCATTGATATATCCTATCCCAACAAGAAAGTAAAATCATGGATGAGTACATCAAGGAATCTTTAAGTAAAGGCCATATACGTAAATCATCCTCGCCTGCTGGTGCAGGGTTCTTTTTTTGTAGCTAAGAAAGGTGGAGAATTACAACCTTGCATAGACTACAGGGCATTAAACAAGATTACTATCAAAAATGCCTATCCCATTCCCTTTATATCCAAATTGTTTGATAGATTCCAGGGTGCTAAGATCTTCACTAAGCTTGACCTTAGGAGTGAGTACAATTTGGTGAGAATTAGGGAGGATTATGAATGGAAGACGGCGTTTAACACTAGGAGTGGGCACTACGAATATCTTGTTATGTCTTTCGGGTTATGTAATGCTCCGGACGTATTTCAAGACTTCATTAATGATTTACTCAGAGACTATATTTACTATTTTGTGCTTGTACAGGTGATACTCGAAAAATTAGAATATCGTGCAAATGTTCATTTATTTCTGTAATGCAACGTAAAAGGGGAAACTAATATATACATGCAAAGCAAGATAGTTCAAGCTGTGAGTTGTCATAAGTGCGATGATTATTGCTTACAGTCCTGCCCTGAGTTCGTGTAAACGCTGGCTGTTGGTAATGTTCATGCTCATGATAAGGTTGTGTCTTCAGTCAGGATACTTCCAGGAGGCGGAGTATACATAATGACGTCTACTCCTGGTCAGATGACGTGTTCGCGATCGGCTTCTTCAAATCGCAACTTAGGATCCGGTGATATCTTCTACTAAGCACTTTTATTCGTATATGTGGAAATAAAGCTGTTCATTTATCCTTACTGGCTACAGTGAAAGTCTCTCTCTATATATTTGGGCTATTCAAGGTAGAGCTGTCACGGTAGTTTACCCCTACACGCAATACTTAGTTCAACAATCGACAGATAGAGCAGATACGACTTACCGGACCTAGAATGGCCAGACTCGCCGTATAGCAGAGAATAGACAGAGTCAAGAACAAGCCGAGGTCAAGGGAACAAAGAGACAGCGAGAACAAAAACTAGCCAAGGTCTGGTACACAGTAGTCAGTAAGCCGGCAAACAAGACAAAACAGGGATAGAAAGATAAACGGAGTCAGATACAAATCCAAGGTCAAGTACGAAAATCACAACTGAACACAACAAGCGCTAAAGGGAACTGAAACAGAAACCACGATAGGGCAGGGAGTTAAGGGAGAGGTAAGTATAAATACCCTAAACTTTACTTTGACTGGCCCCTGTCATATCCACGCCCCCAAAATGTGAGTGTCTGGGGAATGTGGGATGACAGGGGCCAATGGGAGCACATTTCATCTTTTGGCTCCCACTGCCCCTTTAAGAGCGTGCCCGAGACGCGCAGCACGCTCTTAGAGCTAGGCGGGACACGTGACCGCATCTCACGGCCCATGCCCGCCTTCATTCGAGAGCCGCGCACGGCGGTAAGTGAGGACCTTGGCCGGCCCCCGGGTAAGGTAAGTACCGCTACAAGAACAGACTCATCTGCTCTATGTTTGTGAGTGAATTTCTTATCTCACTATTAACTCAGTACTTCTTACCCTGCAATACTATATATGTTTTGTATTCTCTTTTATGTACTGCAATTGGAGCTGTGACTTACTGCAGATATAATATTAGTGTAAGTCAAAATTAATTAATTTATGCACTATATCACTTTGAAGTGGTTTTTGCAATCTGCATTTTTAGATCACATATGTGCTGATCGTTTGTATACACCTCATCACTTGTGAGTGAAACAGTATGTTGCACTTTATTTCACACAGCTGATGCTGCTAAATGAATTTGCACTTTGAATTTTAGCGCACCTTTTTCTGTTTTTATCATACTTCCTGTCGCACATATTATGCTAAGAATATATTAATATTTTCTTAGCATAATATGTGTGACATAAACTCCATTTTGATTCTCAAAACGATGATCAAATTAGCTTTTGGATAATCAAAATAAGAGTCATAAGATATATTTATAACATCCAATCACAACATTTGAAATAACATTTTTACATTTATATCACAAAGACTTAAACAATCATATTCCTGTAATTCTAGTTAATAAAAAAAATTTCACACTAAAAATAATCAACCAAATCTCAATGATTATCATTAATATGTCAATCGCAGTACTAGTATGTGTAGACCAATGAGCAGGAGTGATAATGTCATTGTCTTTCTCTGAGTACTTTAATTTGAGTACTTTAATGTGTCCACAGAAATATTTTTCTTTTTTTATAGACATTTGTATAGTGTAGCTAGCTAGGCTTGTGGTCCAGTATAAATTTTAGATCATGATTAGTTGGTATACAGGAAGTTTTGAAACACATCGTTAACTTGAACTCCACAACATCAGTATATATGGGATATAGTGTGACATCACCTATAGTGACACGTGAGTCTTGGGATACTTTAAACAGTAATACTGAAGAAGATAAAGCAATCACCTTATTAATAGCTTGATCCTTCCAAAATAGACTCATGTTTTGCTGACCAAACATTGATGCCTCACTAAAATATGTGTACTAGGGCATTGTCACTGGTTTTGGTCATAGTTACTTGACATTTTTCAGAACCATGTTTAATGTATTCAATCCCACAAAAAACATATGTAGAGTCATACACAAAAGGTTTTCCATCGCATTGGAAATTATTACCCTTGAACTTGACACAATCTGTCAAAAGAGGTTGGAAAGCCAATACCTCTATGGGGTTTGTATTCTCACATGGATATCATCCTTCCATATTCCTACATTATGTATGTTTTTTTTATCTGAAAAATGTTCCTCTGTGTAACTTAAGGAATTGATCATAGAAAACTGTAACGAATTCATCCGCTTATGGTAAAGTGGATAATGGTATTTATCACAAAAAAGATTAGGTGTACACTCAGTATTGGAAATTAATGATAAAAACCACCACTGGTGTGCATATGGAGCGCTTACAAATTTGTTGACTCACCCATATGGGCTAACATACATATGTATGGAAAACGTGACTCATAGCGATATATCTGAAACAAATGTAAATGCAAGAAATAGTGCAGATAACCTTTTCAATAAGTGCAGTGAGGGAATATTCTATATGGTCTCACTCACATGTAGCAGAGCCCTATAGGATAGGCTCAGATCTCAATGGCCTGCGTGTGCTTATGGTGACACAGTACCCAATCGGTCCTCTAGGCGTCTGGAGATCCTTATGCATACATGAGAGAGAGAGAGAAAACAAGGGGAAGAGGAGAACCCCTAGTGCGGTCAATCCCAATGTACAATGTCAAATAGTGCAGAAAAAGTGGCTTCTCACCTGATGTGGAGCCCTATACCTGGCTCCTGGTGTGTAGGTGTCTGTGCCTTTAAGGGGGCAACTACCCTTCTTTAAGCAGCAACAATGGAGGGTGGATTCCAAATATAAAACAAAATTTATTAAATAAAGTAGTAAAAACTTACAAATAAAATATGAGCAAAATTGTGAGAAATTATAAAATGTGGAATCTTCAATCCTCCAGCCGAAACATGTTTCACTGTACCCAGACAGCATTTTCAATCGGTAATATAGTTGCTGCTGTTACTTGTTTAAATACTTTGTACTTCCTCCTGTGTGGTCCTTCAAACTTCCCTCCCTCCAATCCGCTGGCGTCCTTTTTCATGAACAGCTGTACTGTGTTAGTAATGAGAATGCTCCGGTCTCGGAACAAGTCACGTGACCCGAAGCATCACGTGCCGCATCACAAATTGGGCGTGTTTTCAATGTAGGGCTCACAGTTCATGCAATTCAGAGGGTATCACCCGATTGAAAAAGCTGTCTGGGTACAGTGAAACATGTTTCGGCTGGAGAATTGAAGATTCCACATTTTATAATTTCTCACAATTTTGTTCATATTTTATTTGTAAGTTTTTACTACTTTATTTAATAAATTTTGTTTTACATTTGGAATCCACCCTCCATTGTTGCTGCTTAAAGAAGGGTAGTTGCCCCCTTAAAGGCACAGACACCTACACACAAGGAGCCAGGTATAGGGCTCCACATCAGGTGAGAAGCCACTTTTTCTGCACTATTTGATATTGTACATTGGGATTGACCGCACTAGGGGTTCTCCTCTTCCCCTTGTTTTCTCTCTCTCTCTCTCTCTCTCATGTATGCATAAGGATCTCCAGACGCCTAGAGGACCGATTGGGTACTGTGTCACCATAAGCACACGCAGGCCATTGAGATCTGAGCCTATCCTATAGGGCTCTGCTACATGTGAGTGAGACCATATAGAATATTCCCTCACTGCACTTATTGAAAACGTTATCTGCACTATTTCTTGCATTTACATTTGTTTCAGATATATCGCTATGAGTCACGTTTTCCATACATATGTATGTTAACCCATATGGGTGAGTCAACAAATTTGTAAGCGCTCCATATGCACACCAGTGGTGGTTTTTATCATTAATTTCCAATACTGAGTGTACACCTAATCTTTTTTGTACTAATCTATAGGGTAGAGAGTCCCTATTTGTGTGGTAGCTGCTGTCATTCTATTCAATTATTAACTGAAAGCGCCTTGAAAACACACAAATTCTTATTTCAATGGTATTTATCATCCTGACAGGAATAGTTGTGCCCATTTTCAGCCATGCGCCCGGATACCTGATAATCCCAGCATGTCAAGGGACGCCGGCCACTGCGGATCTATGCCACCTTATAGCCCCATAACGGCCCACGTTGAGAATGACGGCCCACTTTGAGAATGACTTCAGCGTGCGCACGTTCTGGGGTCAAAGGATGATTACAGCCAATCGGAATAACAGGAGGGTTATTTAAACTTATTTTTACATTCTCTCATTGCCCTGTTGTGGTTTCTGCCTGATGGTAATCCGAGAGTACGTTCCTGATCTTGATTTCTGGTATCCTTGACTTTTGGCTTTTTCCCATCGCTGTGTCTGATTCTCTATCCCTGACCTCGGCAAGTATTCTGACTATTCTTGGATACGTTAAGTCCGGGCCATTCTAAGGTCCGGTCAGATGTTATCCTTAGTCCTAGGTGTGATACTGTTCTGCGTGCATGATCAATTAGTAATCCTGACATTAAGACATTGCCATAGATCCTGCAAAATTGTGTCAGCACATAGCTCCTTGCGAGAGAAAGCTAGAGGAGAATGATCACCGTATGGATCAATTTGCCCAGGCTTTTAGCACACTCCTTAATCGGATGGCTCATTTACAGCCTGAGGCTTCTCCGACTAGGCCTCCACTGCATTGTGGGTCAATGGAAAGAGTAGGAGCATTTCCCATTTCATATACAAGATTCAATTGCATGGGTTCAACTTTTTCTTCATCTACTTTTGTCAGTATTGCCCAAATACAAAATAAAAAGGAATACGTCCTCCGGTTAGATCCGTCATTCCAGATTGCACTTCATCCAAAAACAAAAATGTGTGGAATAAACTAAAAGTGTTGTGCATAAACAAAAGTTCACATTTCAATTGATCATGACTTTGATGCAAATTTATGAATTTGGAGATTAATTTAAAATGCATGTTGGTGGTTATTATGGTGTCATTCATTGTAACCCCTTGTAAATCCTTTACATGCTCTTTCTGTCTTTGCATTTCCTGTTGATCAGAATGACAGTAAAATTATATGGTTTTTTTTAAGAAAAAAAGATTAATTCTGCAAGACACGTTTGGTACATACTTTCAGCTCCGATGCCTTTAGTGACAATAAAACAGTAACTCAAATCTTTCATTTACATAGCAAAAAAAGTTTTACTTTCATGTTATTAAACTTCCTCAGTGGGTCTGTTCCACAAGTCACAGCCACGTGCTCGGCAATCAACAGGCCCTCATTAATAGGGGCTGCCAATGCACAAGCGAGGATGCATGAAACTTTAATAAAATAGCATAAATAGTATAGTGAGAGCAAACTCTATACACCAAATGTAAAACAGATGTAAAAAACAGGCAATATTACCATATTTTAGGAATGTCCTAAAATAAAACATAAAGAACATAGTATAGCCTGTATAAAATAGACTAAAAATAAATATAAAATTGCCCACTCACGTGGTGCTGAGCCGTAAATAGTGGCTCAGACTATAAGCGCCTTTTGAGATATTCTTGGAGACCACGATGCTGGAAAAAGCAGGTTTAGTTGATCGCTGTAAAAATTCCCTTGTATATTGGATTAAAAAACCAAATCAAGTAATACAGGAACAAACTTTATTTGCATAAAATAGCATAAAATGGAATCTCCCAAATGTATTGCACTAACGCGTTTCGACCGTAATGGTCTTTATCAAAGTGCTATAGTATCTAACAAACTTAACATTTAAATATGTTCAAAAAAGGAGCGCTGTAAATTCTTCGCCGGTTCACTTCCGGTATCCGGCTATTAATCCCGATCATCTGATTTCCGGCTTCCAATCACGTTGCGTGTCATAGGGCACTTCCGGGTCCATGGTCGTGTCTCTCTTGCGTTCCAATAGATCTCCGGTTTCAATTCTATTTCCGGCTTCCGGTCACATTGCGTTTCACAGGGCACTTCCGGGTCAGCGGTCGCATTTCCCCTACGTTTCAATGGACCTCCGGTCCCAATCAAATCAATGTACTTTCCTCAAATGTCCCCAATACACATATCCATTATATGAATAAAAATGACCAGTCCATCAATTTTATCCTTTAAAGACCATTACAGTCAAAACGCGTTAGTGCAATACATTTGGGAGATTCCATTTTATGCTATTTTATGCAAATAAAGTTTGTTCCTGTATTACTTGATTTGGTTTTTTAATCGAATATACAAGGGAATTTTTACAGCGATCAACTAAACCTGCTTTTTCCAGCATCGTGGTCTCCAAGAATATCTCAAAAGGCGCTTATAGTCTGAGCCACTATTTACGGCTCAGCACCACGTGAGTGGGCAATTTTATATTTATTTTAATTTTTGTCTATTTTATACAGGCTATACTATGTTCTTTATGTTTTATTTTTAGGACATTCCAAATATATGGTAATATTGCCTGTTTTTTACATCTGTTTTACATTTGGTGTATAGAGTTTGCTCTTTTGGATTTGCTAAACCACACAGATTTATTTCCATTAGCCTGGCAAGCAATTCTCATTGCTCTCACATTACCAGTGACCATTTGTACATTGGAAGGGTGGTTCAACGCTATGAGAAGGGTGAAAACCTGGTTGAGCTCGACAAAGGCAGTTGATCGCTTATCGGGTTTGCGCATGATGAGCACCCAAAGAGCGAAAATTCATGAAAACAAAGCACAGCTGATTAGTAAAGTAATTGATAACTTTGTACAAGATCACAGATGTTTGCAGTTCCTTTTTCCAGATCAATAACCAGTTAACAATAACTGTATAAAACGAATTGAAAAATGTGATTGGGAAACTTTAGCAAGAGGGTAGATGCTTACCGTTTCTAAACTACAACAGTTATTCAGTTTATAGCTTTATTTTCCAATTTAAATCAAAACAGTTGTTTTTATATATATATATATATATATATATATGTATATATATATATATGTTAATATATTTAATGTATTCAAAATAAATACGTTTCAAAATAAATTCGTTTGTCATATATTTTAATTGTCATTTGTTTGTGCACATTAACATCAAATGCAAATCCTATTTTTTTTTTTTATAATTCAGTTATAGTGCCTTGATTATGGGTGTATGGCTAATGTGGTGCATTGAATAGTGTTAACTTTAAAGCAGATTATAAATTGCAAAACTCAGTTCAGACAATGGATACTTTATTCTTCCATTAAGCTTTTACATCAGGTTTCTCAACCCTTTGCATGCCTGTGCTTTATGTGAAATTGACTTATTGACTATGTCACTCCCCTTTTTGATATTGTCAAGAAGTGGCAGAGAATGGATGTTATTTAAATTATACTCCCCCCCTCCTACCCCCCCTGCAAAAATTTATGTTAACGCCCATGGCCCACGATCCATATTTTCATTTGTTAACGTAGATCTTAACTGGTTAAACTGGTTTGTGTCTTGTCTGGCATAAGGAAGTTTTTAAATATTAATATGATTTATAAGATTATTTTTTTCTTTTGATGGGGTAGGGTGAAACTTTCTCTTAACACAAAGACCCATACTAAAAGAATGACAAACAGACAAAAGGGAAATAGACATGCATTAAAACACTCTTTCTCAGAAGATAGAGAAAGAACATTAATTTATTAACTGTGATTTATCTCTTTGATTTAAGGATAACTTAAAGATGGATGCCTGGTGTCTCACCTATTTTGTTGTGTTCTCGTTATGTGTGTCTGCAGACATCAATAACAGTAAGTAACAATGGAGTGTTGGATGCTTTGTGAATTGCCATAGTGCAACATTGTATGTTTTTATTTCCTTATTCTTTCCCCTTTTTAATAGTTACTATTTTATTCTTCATCCACTTACTTTTGCTTTCATTATATTTACAAATTATATTTACCCATCAATTCTTTTTTTTCTCTTTTTACTAGCCACAATGGTAATGAATATGGAGACATTCATCACTCTGGTACAGGACATTGAGTCTAGTTTACCAGACTCATCTGCTCGGGTAGTGGCCAAACAACTGCTTCATGTAGCCAAATCTCCAGTTTACACAGGCCATCTTTCCGAGAGACAGGTCAACAATGGCCAGATCCTGCTGGCTCACAAAATCATGTGGTCAAATGAAACAGGATGCCAAGAGAAAGGAGTAGTATTAGCTCCAGATGGTAGTACAGTGGCACCAAGTGCACTGCTTAGGGCAGTGATATGGGGTTGGAAACAAGATTCAGACTGTAAACAATTGCAGTCTGAAAATAAAGAATTGGTGTTGGAAAGAAACAATTCAGAGCTCAAGATCAAAAATTACATTGGTCACATGAATGCAGAATATTCATGTGACCAATGGTCATCTTCTAATGACCAGCAGGGATTTAGCATTGATTCTCTTGATGATGTCCTCCCCATCACTTTGGCTACTTCATTGGGGTTCGCTTTTCTTGCTCATGGAATGACTCTTGACACACCGCTAACAGCTACTGATGGGTGCTGGGACTCCATCTCTGCTCCCAGGTTCTTCCAACTGCAAAATGCCCCGTCCCACGGTGATTTGACACTAGCTTTTATAAATGGTGCTATGGATGGTACTATACTAGGCAAAAGGCTTAGAGAGGAGCCCAAGGATCTACGTTTGAGCACACTTCTTCAGGATTATTATGAAGAAAAGCCTGCCAGGAGCCCTTTTAGAAGGCAAGAATTCAACAAAATACTCGAAGGAGAAGATTTAGAAGTGGCAATACTGAGAGGATTTCATTGTTATAGAAATTCAAAATTAGGCTGTGGCCTGCACAATATCACAGAAGATCATTTGAATTCTGTTATTGCTGCTGCAGTGAGGGAGTTCAAACATCATTTTCTAGGTAAATATTACTAAATATATAAGGTTTATGTATAAAGAGTAATTCTGGGGCAAATATCTAAAAGTGGTGCAGTCACTATGGAAACCAATGGAATATTTCTGCTGATTGCTACACTTTTAAAACTTTGCCTCAGAATTGCTCTTTATACAAAACCCTCAAAGTTTGATCATCTCTCAACCCCAAGTAACACATTAACACTGTATAGAAGTATGTGGATCTTTCTTCTTGTCATGGCATTTAGTTGAGTTCTAGGAAGTGAGTTGACCTGTATTTTCTGACATTGAGTTAATAATCTAAAAACTCCACTCGTTGCCCATGGTAGCTTCCTACACTGTTCTATTGATTACTTTGTGATAAAGTTCCTATTTATGTTCTTTTAATTGGACCCTCTATCTTTTTCCTTTACAGAATGTCCATCTATAATTCCTCGCTGTATGTGGGGAGCGAAGCCATATAATGGAAATCCTACACTATTGAAAACTCCACTTTCTCAGATATATATCCATCATACCTACATACCCTCACAACCATGCACCTCCTTCCAGGACTGCAGTAAGGATATGCAGAGTATGCAGGACTTTCATCAGCAAGACCGTGGCTGGGATGACATTGGGTACAGGTATGGATTGACGAGTATGAAAAGTATCTCAACAAGAACTGTGAATAACATGGATATTGTTGCTTTATAGTGTAAATTAAACCTTGCTCCAGGCTGGGAAACTTCTCAAATAATTATTAACTGTTTCTCATTATTAAATGATCATCTTAACACCGTTGTCTGAGCTCAAAAACATAATGATGGTAGTGTCTGTCTGTCTGCCAGTGAATTTCAGCTCTGAGGCTGACATATTTCTTTAGATTACTAGCAAACAGAAAGATTGTGCAATCAGGATTGCTGGTCTCCTCGCTGGGTATCTATAGATTTATGTTGTCCATGTGGATGAAATTCACACCCTTTGTGTGTATAGCATCTGTAGTAGAAATGCCTCTGCCACGTGTTCTTGGAGGGGCCTGCTTGCCATCCTCCTGCAAAAAGACTATGGGCCCTTTAAAAACGATGTGAACAGACTTGGTTCGTTGGATTTTAGATTTGGTTCGGGAACCTAACAGGTGCACGAACCAGAGACCACCCAGGAGCTTGTTAAGCCTAATTGATGATTTATAACATTTTCCACCGCAGTGTTCTAAGTGTTCGCCTGGATGGCCGCTGTTCGCATGAACGACCACAAGGTGGTGGCTATCTTGTTCCCGTGTGTGAGAAGGAACAGTCAGACCTCAGCCAAGCTGCAAAGGGGCTACGGTGCTTATGGTGTCTGGTGCTGTGGTTATGGTACTCGCTGACAGATAGGAAGCAGCGATTGGCGGAGGCACCCAGTCGGGTTGCCAGGCGGGGCGTCACAGCATCCATTCCCCATATATAGGGTTTCAGTGTAGTTTTGGCATCCATTAATCTTCTGCAGTTTACCCATCTTAGAATATTGATTGACAGTGGAACCTAGTTTGAGCTGCTACAGGTACATAGCAAGTTTGCTAAACTAAGCAACTTTCAATATATTTTTCAGGAGCCAATGTTATAAGTGACCCCATTTTGGGTTCAATTGGCCTTGTTTCAGATTTAGCTAATACTTTTGGTGAATTTTTAACTCAGAGCAAATATTCAACAACTCAGTTCTTTGTGTCATATCATGTGCAGTAATGTGGCCTCCTATTGTTCCCTTGGCATTTGTTACAAAATGCACTTTCAGGTGGAATGACTTGTTATAAAGTAGACTAATTTAATATCCTTTAATAAGCAGAATCATCAATCAATGTATAACAATGATAAAACAGGTGAAAGGAGGCCATCTGTCACCCTCTGTCATAAATTAAAAATGTGCAGCTGCAGCTCAGTTTGACATTAAATGAGAGGTCAGACTGATTGGCGTAATAGTTTTCAATATATTGTCTTATATCTTCTATTCAATGTGAACAATTGTGTTCCTTCAATTTTTAGCTTTGTGGCTGGGTCAGATGGGTACCTATATGAAGGACGAGGGTGGCATTGGGTTGGAGCCCACACTAAAGGCCATAACACTGTGGGTTATGGAGTGAGCTTCATTGGAAATTTCATGAGTTTACTGCCTGAGGAACCCATACTAAGTGTGGTAAGGGATCGCTTTCTTCTATGTGGCGTCAAGTCTGGGTACATCTCTCTCAACTACATACTGAAGGGTCATCGACAACTGGTCAACACCTCTTGTCCAGGAGATTCATTGTACCAAGAGATACAAAAATGGAAGAACTTTAAGGTAACTAAGTCTTTTAGTATAGTACTAGTCCTAACTGTACATCTCTGTAACAATGCCTATCAATCATATTTTTGAGGGGATTTTTGATGTAAATGGTAGTTTTATAGCTGTTTTTAAAAAGGGCACAAGTGGATTGATGCAGTATTAAATTAACATTACGATGCTGATACTAAAATGAGGTATGTTACGTAAATCAGTATCTTGTTAAATTTGCCCAAAACAAAGAGACAATACCAGCCCGTCTGATTGAGAAGAATAATTAGTAGGTGAGTGTGTGAAAAATAGTATTGTCTATTACTAGCCCTTGGTTTCATTAGTTTGTGACATGCACATGCATGCTGCTATTATAACTAACAATCTGGACGAGGGTGGTGTACTTGTTGCTAATATTTCTAGCAGTGGGTTGGAGCAGCATCATAACTAGTACTGTATGTGTGTTATTGTTTCTGGTGGTGCTGTGTTTGTGACATGAATCAATGCTGCAGAATATAATTAGTACTTTGTGGGCTATACTGTAGAAGGTTCTGGATATAACTAATAATGGGTTTGTGTAGAGGTACTGCAATATATAACTAGAATTGTGTGGGCTATACTGTAGAAGGCGCTGGATATAACTAATAATGGGTTTGCATGGAGGTGCTGTAATATATAACTAGTACTTTGTGGGAGATGTAACATAGCAGCAGTTGATTCTAACTAGCACTGGGTGAGAAAAAGTAAAAGATGAGTATAACTTCTACTGTATGTTAGTAAGATAGACGTTGTTTAGTATATCTAGTACTGTGCTTTTAAAAATCAAAACTAGCCTATGTTTGTGATGCAGTGCTGTGTAAAACTGTCCCTGGATGTGCATATAAATAGATATATGTATGCTTTCTTTTCAGGAGTCCTGAAGAGATTGTAGAATGTCATCAACCTTCATTTTAACAGTTAATGTTGTACACATGCTCTGTTGCATCCAATAAAAATTGGTATTTCAAATTAGTCTCTGTGTAACCACATTTTTGCATAACCGTGCTTGGTTATAGGCCCAGTCTATAAAATCTTGCGACAAGTTAACAGTTACTAAAACTAAAATGCAAACCTCATGTTTCCTGTACAGAACAAAAGGTTAAATAGAAAAAGATAACAAGCTAAATGTAAAGAGAGAGAGAGAGAGAGAGAGTAATAAACATATAGGTAAACGGATGAGACTGGCAGGAAGAGACTGAGACAGGCAGAGGAAACAAAAATACGTGAAGAGAGGAAAGGAAGTGTGCAGACGATGGGTAGGCAAAAAACACAGTTTGTGTAGGACAGTTGTGTTTATCGCTAAGGAGAAGCAACAGGTGACTGGCCAAAGAGAAAGCAAAACCAGCACAAAAAATAGATATCTTGTAAGGGGACTATTTTAAGACAAAAAAAAAATAGAAAACGTGTTTTTGGGGAGCAAAAGACCACTGGTTAATTAGCATACAGTATGGTGGAGCCTTGTGAAAACACAGGAGCTCCAGACACTGATCCATCAGAGGACTCTGTTGTAGACTCTTACCAATGGAAAACTGAGCAAGGGCAAAAGTGTGGTGTCTGGGGTCGATTTCAGGGATGGAGGCAATTACGAGCTTCAAGAACAAAGAACTCGGAAGGATCCCAAAAAAAGCAGAAGTCATTTTTTAGGAGCAAGAGGGATTCAAACGAGCACTCAAGGATTCTAGCACGATACCTGCCCTCAATATCTCTGGGAAGAAAGAAGGAGCCTTGTCAGCAGCCAGAGAAGATAGAAGGTGAGTAGTGTTAGTATGTCAGTATGTGGATGGAAGGGTTAAATCCTGGTAAATCTTATGGGTCTGGTGCTTAGTATGGAGAACCATGCATGGGGTTAGTGTCAGAGTTAGTGTAAGCATCTTTAATTGGATGTTATCTTATGGTAAAATAATGTAATTTATGTAGAATTTAATGTGTACATTCTAGCTGTGCCATGTTGTATGTAAAGATGTATGCTGAGTTGCTTCCTACGACGTGTCATTTTACAGAAGAGACAGATTGCATGGTCAACAGTTTTGTAGAACCAAGAGACAAGACAACGTGATGGGCATGTATAGTCATAATATGATCTTCCAAGATTGTATTTGCAGGTGACACCCCTTCCTCTAATAAAAAAAAAAAAAGATGTTTTATTTCTGACACATCCAAAGGCAGGTGTTTGCTCTACATAATTATGGTTCATTTTATCACAAGATAAATCGTTCTTCAATTAATGTAAAACTTATTTTTGACCCTCTTACCAACAAACTATCGATATACAGTTCCTTTCCTTCAACTTGGACTTTCTCTGTTTCTTGTTCCAGACATTAATGGTGGACTATAGGCAAGGGGCCCTCCAATATAATTTTTTTAGAAAATATTTGACCAGGATGGATACATTGAGATTTCTCTCATTTTCAAGTATGTCTTGGACCCACAAACATTGCATTGTTACAATAGGGTACAATATAATATTACAAAAAATAATAAATATATATACATTTAACACATAGCAGGTAATAAATATAGTTAACCATGACAGGTGCATTCTGTATCGAGGTAGGTTGCCATAAATCTCTTAAAGTATTTTAGATTGAATGAAGATATGATTGTGTCTGTGAGGTTATTCCATAATTGCGGTGCTTTGTAGGAAAATGAGGATCGAGCCACTGTATTTTTGCATAACTGTATGCTAAATAAAGTGCTGGTAGTGGATCGGAGGTTATAGGAGTTGGGAACAGCTGTGGAGAGTATTCCCATATAAAATGTATGTTTGCATGGCAAAATAAAATAATGACTGTATTTATTTATGTTGGATGCTTCTGGTTAGCCTATCTGTACTGACTGCTTTCTAGCACGAGTGAACTGCTTCAAGCAATTCATTTTATGTGTTCTATGAAAAAGTGTTTCCTCTGTTTTTCTTTGCATGTACGTTAAACGTTGCATTGAATTGTGAATTCACCCCAAGTAAACTCGAGCTATGACATTTTTGGACACATTTATAGTTTATGATCTGCTGCAGATCATAAATTATGAATGTGTCCAATTTCTGTTATTACCCTTTGAAGTATGTCCAAGGGTAATAACAGAAATTGGACACATTGCTGTGAACCATTTCTTGGGAGGTCAGTTTCCGTGTCTACTGTCCTCTGCAAACAACTGGCTTACATGCAGGCTTGTAGTCACACCTTGGACCATCTGGTCTTGGTAACATGGCACAATTTTCATTATGGCATAAATCTTGAGCATATCTATGAGGCACAAGCATGTTAAGGGACCTTGTCATTCAATGCACAAAATTCAAACAAACAGTCATTACAGTCATCAAAAAAATTACATTATTTTGCTATGTAACACAGTTGTAAGAAAAATCGAAAATTTTTAATTTTAAATGGTTGGAATTAAATTTTTTTTAATCGTCAGGAGTTAAAGGAACACTAAAGGGTCAAAAATACAAACATATATTCCTGACCCTATAGAGTTAAAGACACTACTTAGGTGGCTATCCCAATCAGGGCCGCCATCAGAAAATTTGGGGCCCATGACAAAGCACAAGGTCTGGGCCCCCCCCCCCCTCCTCGCAGGCCCGCCCACGCCCTACCTAGCCGCTCACAATGATGCAGGACTGAATGTGGTGTGTGTATAGTGGAAGTGAATTAGAATGTGTGTAATGGATGTAGTGTTTGTGTGTATTAGATACTGTTTGTGCAATGAATGCAGAGTGTGTGTTTGTGTAGCGGATGCAGTGTGTATAGTGAACGCAGAGTGTTTTTGAGTAGTGGATGTAGTGTGTGTACAGTGATGTAGTGTGTGTTTGTGTAGTGGATGTAGTGTTTGTATGTACTAGATGAAATGTGTTTAGTGGATGCAGTGTCTGTAGTGTGTGTATTAGACGCAGTGTCTGTGTATAATGAATGCAGAGTGTTTCAATTTGTGGTGGATGTAGTGTGTGTACTGTGAATACAGGATGTTTGTGTAGTGGATGCTGTGTGTACAGTTAATGCAGAGTGTATGTTAGTGTAGTGAATGCAGAGTGTGTGTCAGTATAGTGAATCCAGAGTGTGTGCATAGTTTAGTGAATGCAGAGTGTGTTAGTGTGTAATGAATGCAGAGTGTATGTTAGTGTGTAGTGAATGCAGAGTGTGTCAGTGTAATGAATGTAGTGTGTGTGTTAGTGCAGTGAATGCAGTGTGTGTAAATTTGTAGTGAATGCAGAGAGTGTGTTAGTATGTAGCGGATGCAGAGTGTGTGTGTTAGTGTATGCAGTGTGTGTGTTAGTGTATGCAGTGTGTGTGTGTTAGTGTATGCAGTGTGTGTGTTGTGTTAGTGTATCCAGTGTTTGTGTTGTGTTAGTGTATGCAGTGTGTGTGTTGTGTCAGTGTATGCAGTGTGTGTTGTGTTAGTGTATGCAGTGTGTGTTGTGTTAGTGAATGCAGTGTGTGTGTTGTGTTAGTGTATGCAGTGTGTGTTGTGTTAGTGTATGCAGTGTGTGTGTGTAAATGTGTGATCTGGGGGGGAGGGGGAGGAAGGGGCATTTTAACATTAATTTTTAATTAATTGAATTAAATGTTTCTCCCCCCTCCCTGCTTACCTGTGTCCATGGAGGGGGGAGATTCCATTCCTGGTGGTCCGGTGGGGGGCCCCCGCTCCCTGTTACCGCAGAGGGGGCCCAGCCAGGCAGCACACAGCTTCTCTTCCTCTCTTCTCATAACTCTCGCGAGACCCGGTTACCATGGCAACGCTCTGCGGGTCTCGCAAGAGTTATGAGAAGAGAGGAGGAGAAGCTGTGTGCTGCCTGGCTGGGCCCCCTCTGCGGTAACAGAGAGCCGGGCGCCCGCGGCTGCACACATAGATCGCGATATGCGCTATCTATGTGTGCAGAAAGGGAAAGTGGGGCCCAGGACTGCCAGAGCAGTCCGGGCCCCCCAGGGCCGCCGGGCCTGTGACAACTGTCACGGTTGTCACCCCCTGATGGCGGCCCTGATCCCAATATAAAAAGCTGTAAAACTCACCTTTATTCCAGCCATGCAGATCCTCTGGTGCTGGCTCCACCCCTGCCCTACCTCCTTGGCTGAGATCATCAAAATTGATAATCTCAGCAAATACAATATTTTTTACTATTGGAAAGCATTGGATTGGCTGACATAGTAAATTCTGATTATCTTAGCCCAGGAAGCGGACCTCGGGTGGAGTTAAAGGACCACTATAGTGCCAGGAAAACATACTCGTTTTCCTGGCACTATAGTGCCCCGAGGGTGCCCCCACCCTCAGGGTCCCCCTCCCGCCCGACTCTGGAAGGGGGAAAGGGGTTAAAACTTACCTTTTTCCAGCGCCGGGCAGGGAGCTCTCCGCCTCCAATCCTCCTCCTCTCCTCCCCGTCGGCTGAATGCGCACGCGCGGCAAGTGCTGCGCGCGCATTCAGCCGGTCACATAGGAAAGCATTCATAATGCTTTCCTATGGACGCTTGCATGCTCTCACTGTGATTTTCACAGTGAGAAGCACGCAAGCGCCTCTAGCGGCTGTCAATGAGACAGCCGCTAGAGGAAATAGGGTAAGGCTTAACCCATTCATAAACATAGCAGTTTCTCTGAAACTGCTATGTTTATGAAAAAATGGGTTAACCCTAGCTGGACCAGGCACCCAGACCACCTCATTAAGCTAAAGTGGTCTGGGTGCCTAGAGTGGTCCTTTAAATGCTGCGCTGGCCAATCAGCATCTCCTCATAGAGATGCATTCAATCAAGAAAAGTTCAGCGTCTCCAGGCAGAGCGTGGAGATGCTGAACGTCAGTGCTGCACGATGTGTAGCAATGACCAAGGAAGCCCCTCTAGTGGCGGTCTGAGTGACTGCCACTGGAGGTGTCCATAGGGAGCAATGTAAACACTGCCTTTTCTCTAAAGAGGCAGTAATTACAGCAAAAAGCCTGCAGGGATTTACTATACTCACCAAAACAACTACATGAAGCTGCAGTTGTTCTGGTGACTATATTGTATCTTTAATGTTTTACATACAAAGGAAATAAAAAGTTTTCTTTAGTCACACTCAAAAAAAC